TAAAAGTTACGCCTTCTTTCTTTGCGTGAACATTTGGGCGGCGTTATGCAAATCTTCCCACATAGTGACGTAGACATGTGGGGGCGTGTTAGAACGAGCCGTTTTAGGTAGGTGTGGCTGACTCTTAACTTTTATAAAGAATATATCTTTGGATTTGAGACTTTAGTCTTTGCAACTTTACAGATCTTCTTTATGCACCAAGAGCTTGTAACACTCCAAAGAGAAAGGAAAAATTGAAATCGCATCATATGACCCCTTTAAACATTATGCACTTTTTTTCACAGATAGTCATGTTATCTTATGCTTTGAATAAACGTGCATTAGTAATATTTTGCTCAATGCGCCCTTTTGTGGCCTCAGAAGAGAAGCCAAAAGCTTTTCTTTACCCTATCTGAAATTATGCATTTTAAATTCGAATATAATTCGAATTTTTATAATATTTAAGTACAAAATTTGAATTTAGTTTTTCAGCCATTTTGACAGCCATACTACCTGCATCCACAATAACTAGATTTAATAGATAAACTGCTCTTCTTAAAGGGGAGTAGAGGCCCAATTTGAGAAGTCTTCAAAAGTAATATTGAGTTGGTCCACAATTATATTCGACATCGATATCTGACTTTAAATGTGTTGATTGCTTCTCAGCCACGCTGTGTCTGGTGGATTTGGCCGGTAGTGAGAGAGTGCAGAAGAGTCAGTCTCAAGGAGATCGATTCAAGGAAATGACCGCCATCAACTCTTCCCTCACCAACCTGGGAATTGTGATCGCCGCTTTGGCCAACAAGGTATGTTTTTAGCTAACTATATGGAAGCAATGCTGAGTTATTGGAGAATGTAATGCTCTCATCCTCATACTTGATTTTCATAACCAAAACTAGTCTTCTAGACTTCTTGGTACATTGTGCCATAGATGTTGTTTTCATATAAAAGATATTACTTGCTGTGCAATAATAACTTCACACACTCATTTTCCTTCTCGACCTCTACAGGACAGCTTTGTTCCCTACCGTAACTCAAAGCTCACGTACCTCCTCCAGAACTGCCTCGGAGGCAACAGCAAAACGTAAGTATAATGCTCAAGTACGTGTTTGTTTTATAGCCTGCGACATTATTTCCTTTTGGAGGTTTGCAGAATATAATTTATAATATACATTATTTTAAAGGAATATGTGACTTATTTCTTGTCCTGTTCAGTTTGATGTTTGTGAATATATCGCCTGAGGAAGAGAGCTTCAGTGAGTCGCTGAATTCTCTGCGCTTCGCCAGCAAGGTGAGTGATCTCATGCGGTCACACGGCAGGTTTTGTTTAACATGATATCTTTAACACGGTCTATAACTCTCGTTTACTGTGTTTCAGGTGAACGACTGTGTCATCGGAACAGCCTCTGCTAATCGGAAGTAGTTCAGCTGTCATTTCCCAACATCCTCTGTGGTCATTTTTAAATGTTTTTAACTTTTATCTGAACTTCACTTATTTCATCTTTAGCCTCATTTCTCCTGTCTTTGGCATTTTTTATATTTCTAAGATGCATTTTTAATGTTCAATATTACTGGCAGACAATTTTTTATTAATGTTTTATAGCCACAAAATGCATATTGTACTTAAACTTGTAAGGGGATCAATAAATTTTCCATTTTGGCATGTAATGCAGTGATGAGCCTCATTATGATGCCAAGTGGACAACGGTTGGACAGTTTTGTTCTTGTGGATATAGTTTATAGTTATGAAAATGCAAATGAGATTTGTTTCTCTTACAAATAAATGATCCTGGTAATTATAGTTTGTAAAAAATACTTTAATAAAATTAAGATAACTTGAACTTTGGCACTGTTGTCATAAGAAATAACATTTCATGAACTCTGAAAGCTTCTTTCAATGTTTAAAAGATATCCCATGTTAATTATACACATAATATAATTAATAATTGAATAATAATCATTTATGCATTTAGCAGATGCTTTTATCCAAAGCGACTTACAGTGCATTCAGGCTATACATGTTTTTTTACCAGTATGTATTGTAATTAAAGTTATAATCCTTTGTTACTGTAAATGTTAGCATTAAACAAGTCCTATAAGAGACCAAATATATATAGATACATAAAATATTAATCTTTGGGCCATAATTTTAACCATTGATTTTTATTTTTGAAAATATTCCATAATTTTTGGTTGTAATTTTTTTTTACCTTTAAAAGCAAGGTAAAAAAGGGGGGGAAAGCAGCACTGTTTTATCATACTAGATACATGTGAAAGTTCTGTTATAATGCTACTCTGTGCGGTCGTCACCGGTCTAATAAAACGCACAACATATTAAAGCGTCTTTGGTGTTTCCATGTTTTCTACAAAACAAAACCGGAAATTGAGGGGTTATGACGTCATTGGCAGATGACACTATAGACACGGTCCGTGTCACTAGTTAAAATTGCTTATTTCTCTGGATTTAAACATTCTTCTAAACATTTGGGATAATGTAAGTACACAAGTCAGCAAAATATATAACACTGTTCTAGTGGTTTTTGGATATTTCAATTAAAAAAATCTTACATGTTGTGCCTTTAAGGCACTTCTGGGTAAAATTGTTGTAGATGAATTATAGCTACTGCCTTATAAACTGCTCGACTGCTGAAGTATAGGGCTGGGAATCGATTCCAAAATGAATCGATTCCGAGGTGTTGGGAATCGAGACTCATTCAGAGCCCTTTTCAGTTCAACAAAGTTTATCTATGAGTGTCTCTCAAACGGAAGGCTGCACACATTTAAATTCACGAAAATAAACTGAAAGAAAAGGAGTCGGTACTGAGATCATCTGAATTTTAGGATGCAGCCTTCCGTTTGAGAAGCACCATTTCCCTCCCTCATGCACGTTAAAAGCCGTAATTACGAGAGTTGTGAGATAAAAGATTATTTTAATTTATATATTTTTATTACCATTCGCCTCCCTCGTGCTCGCTAAAAGTGATTAGAAGTCATTAGAACCAGTTAAAAAAACGATTCATTGGTTATTTTACGGTGGACCTGGCTTGTCCACAATTTTGAGCGCTGCACGACAGAATAGATGACGTGATCAAGGGTCTTGATCTTATTTCCATCTAAAATACTATTTTTTTTAAACATTTCTATCAGCCAATGATAATTATAAAAGAAAACGTCCCGAGCGCGATTTCAATTTCTCTTTGGAGTGTTACAAGCTCTTGGTGCATAAAGAAGATCTGTAAAGTTGCAAAGAGCAAAGACTAATTTCAGTGTAGTTTGTTAATTTTGTGCAAAGCATACAGTCAAAGTAAACTTCATCATTCAGCTGAACTGTGCACATTTATTTTAGACACTTCATATCATGTTCAATTCATGCGATAACCGCATGTCCCTGCTGAGCTGTGGGCTATGACTAACTTCACGGGCAAAGCAGACAAAATTACAATTTATGTATCGTTATTTTTTTTTTTTTTACAAATAAAGCTTCATGTTGTGAGAAGGATACTTTCTACGACCTTTATCCTGCGGTCATGGTGGTCATGGTGATTCCTTCAATCTAAAAATCTTTATTTTTTTATTTAAATGTTTAGTTTTGAAATGTTGTTAATGTTGTTGGTCATTTTTATTTAATTTATTTTATTTTATTAAATGTGTATACATATATAGTATTTATAGAGTTTTAGCTTTTAGTTTTAATTACTTTTTCTTATTTGTAAGTCACTTTGGATAAAAGCGTCTGCTAAATGACTAAAAGTAAAGTAAAAGTAAATGCAATTAAAATAATAAAATACCATTAAATATGAAGTGTCTGTATAATTTGTGTGTGCGTTTTTTTAATAATAATTATTAATTTGCAGGGGTTGTTTATTTGTTATATGGAGAGCTTCTCTAAACAGGCCAATAATAGACTATTAACTACTACTCATCATTTTAATAACACAAATGACAGGTTAGAAATGTCTACAAATTGATCCGAGATCAGGGGCAAGTTCAAGCTCAAACCGTTGTGCACCGTTTTGCTACGGTTTCCGGTTTGAACGACATGTTTCCTGGAAACGGTGTGCAACGGTGTGCAACAGTTCAACAAAGCTTATCTATGGGTGCCTCTCAAACGGAAGGCTGCACACATTTAAATTCACGAAAATAAACTGAAAGAAAACGAGTCGGTACTGAGATAATCTGAATTTTAGGATGCAGCCTTCCGTTTGAGAAGCACCATTCACCTCCCTCATGCTCGCTAAAAGCCGTAATTACGAGAGTTGAGAGATAAAAGATTATTTTAATTTTTATATTTTTATTACCATTCGCCTCCCTCGTGCTCGCTAAAAGTGATTAGAAGTCATTAGAACCAGTTAAAATTTTTACGGCGGACCTGGCTTGTCCACAATTTTGAGCGCTGCACGACAGAATAGATCATGACGTGATCAAGGGTCTTGATCTTATTTCCATCTAAAATACTATTTTTTTTTTAACATTTCTATCAGCCAATGATAATTATAAAAGAAAACGTCCCGAGCATAGATCAGTGGCTGAGAGCGCATCTGATTGACAGATAAACCACGAGCTCTATCAGTTATTGTTAATGTTCTGGTTATTTTGTTTCAGTGTAGTTTGTTAATTTTGTGCAAAGCATACAGTCAAAGTAAACTTCATCATTCAGCTGAACTGTGCACATTTATTTTAGACACTTCATATCATGTTCAATTCATGCGATAACCGCATGTCCCTGCTGAGCTGTGGGCTATGACTAACTTCACGGGCAAAGCAGACAAAATTACAATTTATGTATCGTTATTTTTTTTTTTTTTACAAATAAAGCTTCATGTTGTGAGAAGGATACTTTCTACGACCTTTATCCTGCGGTCATGGTGAGATTATAGATTCCTTCAATCTAAAAATCTTTATTTTTTTATTTAAATGTTTAGTTTTGAAATGTTGTTGTATGCATTTGTCATTTTTATTTAATTTATTTTATTTTATTAAATGTGTATACATATATAGTATTTATAGAGTTTTAGCTTTTAGTTTTAATTACTTTTTCTTATTTGTAAGTCACTTTGGATAAAAGCGTCTGCTAAATGACTAAAAGTAAAGTAAAAGTAAAAGTAAAAAAAACAAGAATCGAAAACAACAGTGAGGAATCGATTCTCCTCGAGAACCAGGAATCGGAATCGAACTCAGCCCTACTGAAGTATTGAACTATTTTAGTAAGATGGTACATGGTTACGGTTTCTATGGTTTCTGTTACTCGAAAACAGCACTTGTTGCCATGACAATAAGGAACAGGATCCAGTGTCCGCTTCCCTTTTTAGTCGGCCGAGTCTAGAGCAGCTGTCTGGGATTTCATTAAAGGTAAAACCAGACTCCAAACCCGATGTCAGTCCACCATTACGCTCGGCATTCCCGAACGGTGGGAAACGTCGATTTATCATAATGGAAATCCCTCTTTTGAGTGCCTGACGGAGATATTTAAATCGGTAAGATATCTTGCTCGATAAAAAGAGTCTGATTTATGAGGCGATTAGCTTCCGTGATTCTTAAGGCCACAAGGGCTGGTTTCGCAGCTGCTGGCTAACGTAAACAAACCCCGTTTCTGACCGAACGCTTTTAAACGGGGCTCTGAGTTATCAATAGCAGGCGGATTTCATAGTAATCCACGCCGAGAGCGAGTGTTTATCAAACACCAATGCAACTTTCACGGATAGCGAAATATTCTTCATCTGAGGCATTATTAGTACAGGATCCGAGGAAACTATATTCATGATATTTGTCATTATTACAATTCGGAAAGGCTACTTAACACGCCAATAAAGTGAATAAATAAAGTGTGCATGCAGCGCCTGGTCAATGCCCCTTGTTCTTTGGACCTGCGATACCATTTGCTGGGTTCAAAGAGAAATAAAGCATATTTGATCGAAATTAGTAGTTATGTCAGAGGAAAATCAAAACATATTATATATAATATTTATAATATTACATATAATATTTTTAGCAGCCGTTTGTTTACGTACGTATGAACTTGATGTTTATGTAACATACATTTTTAAATATATAGAGTATCATTATTATATGTAAGGAAGTCATTCATTTTCAAAGTAAATTTAAATTCTATGCATAGAATGCGGTGTGAGTCCAGAATGTTCGGGAGTCAGTTTGATTATTTAATGCGGTTGTCACTCTGGTTTATAAGTGAACTAACTGTGTGTGAATGTAACTATTCAGCAATTTAAAACAGGACTGACAACCATAATAAGGTGCGTCCAAATCGCGTACTACTTATGCACTATTGTATAAATAGTGCGAGTAGTGTGTTCACACTAAAAAAAACAAAGTGCACTTTAAATACCCTGATGATGCACTTAACATCATCTTAAGTGGAAGATGGCACTTAACATGTGGAATGTTGGACACTTCATGCACTCAGCTGTCGCAGCTTTATTTACGTAGAGGAGGGGCTTAGACTCCGATTATTAATGACAAAATAATCTTATATAATTAATACACTACATGACGGAGCACATAGTGCATAAGTACATAGTGTATAGTGCATCATTTGGGACGCAGCTATAGTCTTCTGCTGTGTGATGTAGCCTGTGTAATGTAAAGTTGTGTCCCAAATGACGCACGATGCACTTATTCTATGCACAGTGTACTCAACCGTCTTGTGTATGAATAATATAAGGTTATTTTTTATCCAACAAAGGAGTCTGATAGCTCCTCCTCTTCAAGTACGTAATTAAAGCTGCTTCATGAAGTGTCCAACATTCCACACTTATTTTTTTCTGTTAAATTAGCACATCATCTGGGCATTTGAAGTGCACGTTTTCTTTTTGGAACTAAGTGTGACCACACAAATCACATTATTTATACTACAAAACAGCATAGAATGGTGCATAAGTATGCAAATTGGGACACACAGTAAATTTGCATTAAATTAGCTGTTTTGTGATGCTCACCTCTTGCAGGAATGCAGTCGGCCACGGCGGGCCAAGGCTATGGTGACTCCGCGGGTTCAGAGGTGCAGGTGTGCTTCCCCAGTGTGCAGGCCTCAGTGCTGGACAGCCTGAATCGGCAGCGTGAAGAAGGCCATCTCTGCGACCTCTCCATCCACGTTCAGGGCCAGGTGTTCAAGGCCCATCGGTGTGTGCTGGCTGCATCGTCACCTTACTTCCATGACCAGGTACGTCTTTACCTTGAGGCCTAGATGCTTTAAAAGATTTCTTGAAACATGTATTGAAGTTCATTCCAATTCTGCGTGGCCACACCCACTTGGTTACTGTTGCTAGGTCTGACAAGCGTTCTCCAACTAGGGAATTCCTACTTTAGTTGCTGACAAACACTGAAAGAGAAGGAATCAAATTGAGTGAATTACCGCAGGAGTTATTTAAATAATATCTGTATTGTCCATACATTCATGTTTATGTTAGAGCTAACATAACATTTGAATCATATTAATTATATGTTGTTCTGATTCATAAAATGAATTGCATATATGAGTATTTACTATTTACCTAAAAATCAAGATCATTCAAATTATCTTTGAACACAAGAACGTGTGTTGCATGGATTATACAGTATCTGGAAGATATAAAACAATATGTGTAATGAAATATATAATAAGCTAGTATTTAAATCAAATTAATTGCATGAAATTTTTATTAATAAAATTAATGTAAATTAAAGTATTTACTGAGAAAAGCCTAAAAATAAAAATAATTCAAATTAATAAATATAATAATAAAAAATAATATCTTTGAACACAAGAATGTGTTTTATGGACCATATATGGAAGAAATAAATAAAACCATAAAAATGTGTAATAAAAAATATATTAATAAAATATTATATGAAAAATAAGTGTTTTAGTGTAACTGACATACAATTTCTTATTTTTAATAATGTTTTAAATCATCTTCTAATATTTAGTTTTTAATTTTAAAGTTTTAGTAAATAGTAATTGCTATTATTTTAGTAATTTAGTAATCATTTTTAATCCTTTTAATTTCAGTTTCAGTTATTTTACGTAGTTAAACTATACAAAAATGAGATGCAATTAATTGTTTTTTAATATTTTATTTCAGTAAATGTATATAGTAAATGTCTATTTTATTTCAAATAAATGTTATTATGATTTTAGTTCTAGTTTATAGTTAACAATAAAAACCCATGTCTATCTATCTGTCTGTCTGTCTGTCTGTCTGTCTGTCTATATTATGAGTGTTATGTGCAATATTAGGTAATTGCAAAATCTTGTTAGACAATATGTTGACAACAACAGTTGCCAAGTTCTGTAAGATTTCACAGATAAAATATTTTTCACAATCTGTATTATTAAGTCATTAAAAAAAAAAAGCATAATAGTTTCTATCAAATTCATCTGTGCAGTGTTTATTAGCCATATCACAGTCTTTATTTCTGCATTCCAGGTGCTGCTGAAGAACATGTCCACTGTCTCCATCCCAGCCGTCATGGACCCGCTGGCCTTTGAGAGCGTCCTCAGTTGCGCTTACACCGGCCAGCTGCGAATGCTTCGCGAAGACATCGTTAACTACCTCACCGTTGGCAGTGTGCTTCAAATGTGGCACATTGTGGACAAATGCACTGAGCTCCTCAAAGAGGGCAGGGGAGGTTCCAGTGGACCTCAGGGATCCAGAGACAAGGAGAGCGCAGGGCAGAGCGGCGGCGCCAACAAGATCGCCCAAGCCGACGGAGGAGACGCACCTTCGACTCCTCAACCTCCCAGCCGACCGTCCTTCAGCGAGAGCCAGTCCCCGAGCAGCACCAATTACTTCAGTCCTAGAGATGCAAACTTTGGCGGGGCAATGATGACCACTGGAGCAGTAGGAGAGGGTGCCGTACACTCCACCCCAACCTACTGCATGCCCTCCGGCGGAGAGGAAGGTTTTATGATTGAAGAAGATGAAGAAGATGACGACGAGCTCTTGTTTCACAGGAAGAGAGATCAAGGAGGCAAGCAGAAGTGCGCAACCTCTGCATCCGGTCAGGAGGTTGGGGTGAGCGACAGTTTTGGAGTTTCGTCGTATCAAGATGGAGATTCCTCACCACCGCAGAAGCGGCCGTCGTACAGTCAGCCGAGCATCATGCCAAGAAAACAGTGGGTGGTGGTAAAGACGGAGCACTCGAGAGAAGACGATCTGATCGTGGTGTCCGGAGGAGAGGAAGGAGGGGAGGATGAAGAGGAACGAGAGATGGAGATGGTCAGAGTGAGGGACAGGACATTTAACATATCAAATGTTAGGACCCTCTCTGGACTCAGAGAAGATGCTGAAATGGAGGCACAGGTCAGCAGTTTTGCATCAACTTAACTTTCTTTTTTTAGGGCTGGATGATATATGATCAGTATATTTGATACAGTTTTACCTGTGATATAAAATGAATAATTATTTTAGATGTTGCAATTAATTTAATATGCTTTTATTTTTCCAATTAAAGGGTTAGATCACCCAAAAATGAAAATTCTGTCATTAATTACTCACTCTCATGTCGTTCTAAACCCGTAAGACCTTCGTTCGTCTTCGGAACACAAATTAAGATATTTTTGATGAATTTTGAGAGCTCTCTGACCCTCCCATAGACAGCAATGTAATTACCACGATCAAGGTCCAGAAACGTAGCAAGGAGATCGGTAAAATAATCCATGTGACATCAGGGGTTCAACCGTAATTTTACGAAGCTACGAGAATACTTTTTGTAAGCAAAGAAAACAAAAATAACGAATTTATTCAACAATTCGCCTCCTCCGCGTCACCCTGGTGCCATTTTGGAGATTATCCACTGAACGTAAACAGCGTATGCTATTCTGTGTCACATGCAGCTGATTACCGATCTCCTTGCTACGTTTCTGGACCTTGATAATGGTAATTACATTGCTGTCTATGGGAGGGTCAGAGAGCTCTCAGAATTCATAAAAAATATCTTAATTTGTGTTCCGAAGACGAACGAAGGTCTTACGGGTTTAGAACGACATGAGGGTGAGTAATTAATGACAGAATTTTCATTTTTGGGTGAACTAACCCTTTAAGTTTGAACACTGCAAAAATTACTGAGTTTTTAATTAGTTATAATTTGAAATGCTTTTCAGTTAAAATACAACTGTACCAGTAGATTTCTTCACTTGTTTTAAACTTGTTTATACTTAAAACAAGTGAAAAAGTCTGCTAGGTCAGTAAGGCCAAATGCACTCGCATTGAAGATACAGTATATTCTCAAAAACGTCTCTATCTCATGCACTGTTGCTTCTCAGGTACTTTTATTTAGTGTCAAGGATTTTTAGATATTTTAGCCAGAAAATTACTTGTTAAGAATAGCATTTAGTTTTGCAGTAAATTAACTTCTTGCCTTGTGAGATTGGAAGTAATAGGGTACTAAATGGTTGTAAAATATGCAGTTCATAATATATAGCAGTTTTTTGTTTAGTCTAAACTATGATTTTCCTAACATAAAAAATACCTTCATTTAATATCAAGATATATGTTTTTATTTTGGCTATATCGCCCAGCCCTGCTTGCAACATTCAATAAAAAAAGACCAATACACATGTACAGTGGCCCTAAAAATATTCAGACACCTTTAGACACTTACGTCACACATTAAAAAAGTCTGAATTTCATTGCATTAAATTCAAAATATCAAACCAAGTGGCGTCTGCAAACAAAGGACTCAGAACTAACTAATTACACTTTGTGAGCCTCTCCTTACATTATTTTTTAACCAATCGGCCTCAAGGTAATTTCTCACGGATGTATGAAGTCAGTTCATCTTAAGTTCACACATGTGTCCTCCTAACAGAATAACCACTAGTGTAGTTAATCACATTAACAAATAAACATGCTCCACAAGGTTTGACAACCAAAGTTTCCAGGATTCTTTGTCTTTATGTTAAACAGTATATATACTGCTTCATTTTTTGAAACCAAATACTTCAAAAACAAACCTAATTTTTGAAGTATTCTGATTAAAAATGTGCTTGTGCCATCTATTAAAAAAAATAAATGCCACTTGTTTTGTTATTTTGATATATTATTCAAGCACATGGATTATTTTCAATTTATAATTGCATTTGTAATTGTGGCAATGCATATGTCTAAATATTTTTGTATATCAAATATTGTCAAAAATATATTGAATTTTTTGGTACAGACTACAGACAATTGAAAGATCATCTCAGCAAATCAGTGACCGAGGTGCACCAACAACAACTTAAAGTGCCCCTATTATGCCATTTTTACGGTTCCTAATATTGTTTTGGGAGTCTCCTACAATAGGATTACATGCATGCAAGGTCAAAAAAACATTTTGTTTTCTCAAAATATGCATTTAATATCACCTCATTTTCCAGCGATTCGTTCGAAGCAGTTCAAAGATTCAGTCTCTCTAAACCCCTCCTTTCCGTGAGCCTGCTCTGCTCTGATTGGTCAGATGGCCCAGTCTGTTGTGATTGGTCTATGGCGTACAGCGCGTGTCGGAAACGATACGCCTATTTCAATAGTTCTGTATTTTGAAGGCTCTATAGAAAATATAAACATCTATTATTTATCATACTTACAGGTTGTGATTCAGTGGAGCAGCTGGTCCAAATAAACAGGATACTGATCCATCTTTCAACAGCAAGCGAACTCCCCGAGATTGGAGAAGCAGTCGTCAGTAGAATGACGTGTTTGTGGGCGGGGTCAAGTTCGCGGCCGGCCAACATGTAGAACATAGGCGCGCATTATGCAAATGTGTTACCCCATGACGTGTAGCCGTAAAAAAGACCAATACACATGTACAGTGGCCCTAAAAATATTCAGACACCTTTAGACACTTACGTCACACATTAAAAAAGTCTGAATTTCATTGCATTAAATTCAAAATATCAAACCAAGTGGCGTCTGCAAACAAAGGACTCAGAACTAACTAATTACATTTTGTGAGCCTCTCCTTACATTATTTTTTAACCAATCGGCCTCAAGGTAATTTCTCAGATGTATGAAGTCAGTTCACATCTTAAGTTCACACGTGTCCTCCTAACAGAATAACCACTAGTGTAGTTCATCACATTAACAAATAAACATGCTCCACAAGGTTTGACAACCAAAGTTTCCAGGATTCTTTGTCTTTATGTTAAACAGTATATATACTGCTTCATTTTTTGAAACCAAATACTTCAAAAACAAACCTAATTTTTGAAGTATTCTGATTAAAAATGTGCTTGTGCCATCTATTAAAAAAAATAAATGCCACTTGTTTTGTTATTTTGATATATTATTCAAGCACATGGATTATTTTCAATTTATAATTGCATTTGTAATTGTGGCAATGCATATGTCTAAATATTTTTGTATATCAAATATTGTCAAAAATATATTGAATTTTTTGGTACAGACTACAGACAATTGAAAGATCATCTCAGCAAATCAGTGACCGAGGTGCACCAACAACAACTTAAAGTGCCCCTATTATGCCATTTTTACGGTTCCTAATATTGTTTTGGGAGTCTCCTACAATAGGATTACATGCATGCAAGGTCAAAAAAACATTTTGTTTTCTCAAAATATGCAGTATGAAGTCAGTTCATCTTAAGTTCACACATATGTGTCCTCCTAACAGAATAACCACTAGTGTAGTTAATCACATTAACAAATAAACATGCTCCACAAGGTTTGACAACCAAAGTTTCCAGGATTCTTTGTCTTTATGTTAAACAGTATATATACTGCTTCATTTTTTGAAACCAAATACTTCAAAAACAAACCTAATTTTTGAAGTATTCTGATTAAAAATGTGCTTGTGCCATCTATTAAAAAAAATAAATGCCACTTGTTTTGTTATTTTGATATATTATTCAAGCACATGGATTATTTTCAATTTATAATTGCATTTGTAATTGTGGCAATGCATATGTCTAAATATTTTTGTATATCAAATATTGTCAAAAATATATTGAATTTTTTGGTACAGACTACAGACAATTGAAAGATCATCTCAGCAAATCAGTGACCGAGGTGCACCAACAACAACTTAAAGTGCCCCTATTATGCCATTTTTACGGTTCCTAATATTGTTTTGGGAGTCTCCTACAATAGGATTACATGCATGCAAGGTCAAAAAAACATTTTGTTTTCTCAAAATATGCATTTAATATCACCTCATTTTCCAGCGATTCGTTCGAAGCAGTTCAAAGATTCAGTCTCTCTAAACCCCTCCTTTCCGTGAGCCTGCTCTGCTCTGATTGGTCAGATGGCCCAGTCTGTTGTGATTGGTCTATGGCGTACAGCGCGTGTCGGAAACGATACGCCTATTTCAATAGTTCTGTATTTTGAAGGCTCTATAGAAAATATAAACATCTATTATTTATCATACTTACAGGTTGTGATTCAGTGGAGCAGCTGGTCCAAATAAACAGGATACTGATCCATCTTTCAACAGCAAGCGTTTTGTGAATCCCGCATTGAACCCCCCGAGATTAGAGAAGCAGTCGTCTGTAGAATGACGTGTTTGTGGGCGGGGTCAAGTTGTTCGTGGCCGGCCAACGTAGAACATAAGAGCGCATTATGCAAATGTGTTACCCCTGTGACGTGTAGCCGTCACGGAAGTGGGATTCGAATTACTAACGACTCGTTTCAGCTGTTCAAAGTCCATTCTTTATTTTGGGAGACAATAACTTTATTTATCGTGCACTTTCAGCTTTACAACTTTGCAGATCGTTTACATTCACAGCTACATTTCACACTGCATGAAAGGCAATATTGGAAATGGCATAATAGGGGCACTTTAACATCCTCAATTACTCAAATGTCTTTTTTCCAATAGGCTGACTATTGCCAGTCCTCGGAAGACTACCTCAAGTTTGAGAGGGGTTTGATCGACCAGACGTCCTCTCAACAGCCTCCTGGGAATCCCGCTCAATGCTCCAGTAGGGCCGTGTCCACCCTGCTCGGCTCGGTTCAGTCGACGGCCGCCAGAGCTCAGCTCTTCCCTCTGGACATGCAGGGAAACCAGATTCTCCTGTATAATCAAGCCGCCCTAGAGTCAACATCTCCATTAGGGCTCACAGGAGGCATGTCCGGGGTGTCTCTAAAAGGGAGCCTCGAACACGGAGCGGTACATTTACCCGGCCAAAGTGCATTGGGTAGCGGGATGGAAGGATTAGACGGCAGCGCAGCTGGCAATTCAGGCAAGGTCTTCATGTGTCATTGTGGGAAGACGTTCACACACAAGAGCATGCGGGACCGGCACATCAACATGCACCTGGACCTGCGGCCCTTCCACTGCCCCGTCTGCGCCAAAAAGTTCAAGATGAAGCATCACCTCACCGAGCACATGAAGACCCACACCGGTCTGAAACCCTATGACTGCCACGGCTGTGGTAAGAAGTTCATGTGGCGCGACAGCTTCATGAGGCATCGCTCGCATTGCGAGAGGCGCGGCAGGGCCAATGGAAGATCGGGATCCGAAGGGTCGGTCATCTCTCCGCCACATCACATGAAGCTCCCGTCAGCCAACGAGACCAATCAAGGTAGCGATGGCGCCAGAAGTGGGATCCCCGTTTTGTCTCCGCAACATTCCATGAGCAGCAATGGCGTCTCTTGTCTCAATATGGCCGCCTCTGGGCCTCTTCTAGGAATCAGTTCTCAAAGCGGGCCGCATGGCCTTGGTTCTGGAGTTCTGGGCATTGGTGGCAATCGTAGCGGGTGTGTGGAAGAAGTCTGTGAGGGAAACGTTGATAAAAGCAGCGTCACATAAGAAATTTGCCTGAGATCACCGTCCCGCAAAACCAGAACACTTGTCTTTGATTTTAAAGGACTATGTGCACAGTTGTCTGATTCTTTACCTCATGTCGGCGAGTTCGCCATACACGATGTCCCATTTGTATTTGAAAATAATACCAATGACCAAATGCCCATTGCTAGCTCACGTCGATGGTGACTGTCGAAACCGTATCCCGGCCAGGAATATGGATTAGTTGCCATCACGTTCAAGCTGCCTCACTAGCACAGAAGATTCGTTCACTGTTGCTCTGAAGTGCCATTCTGTTATTATGCTGTACGATATTATGTTCTACAGAGTTGTACATTACAGTAACTCATTTGGTCCATTCTTGGTGTGAAGTTTTATTGTACTGTCACCCAACTATATACAGTATATTCACTCTCAAAGGTTTTAATGTTGTAATTGCTTAAATAGGAGACAAGAATATAACTCTGCACTTTGGTTTCTTAAGGCCCATTCATACCAATAACAATAACTATAACGATAACTATAATGGCTCATTCGTAAAAATGGCGATAATCATAAAGGCTTGTTTGCAAAAAGGGACGATAACTATAAAGGTCCGTTCACAGCACAACGGACAATAACTATAATGATAACTCTAAAGGTCCGTTCACAGCACAACGGACAATAACTATAATGATAACTCTAAAGGTCCGTTCACAGCACAACGGACAATAACTATAACTCTAAAGGCTTGTTCGCAAAAAGGACAATAACTATAAAGGATTATTCACAAAAAAGGATGATAACTACAGCGATAACTATAAAGGTACATTCACACAAAGGACAGTGAATATAACAATAACTATAAAAGCTTGACAGCCAATCAGAATCCATTCAACTTTAAAGAGCTCGAGCATTTAAAGTGGCAGACGACAAAAAAATAATTAAAAATAGTTATCATTCTTGGTGTGAACAGGCCTTTACTCGTTGAAAGGCAGGGAAGTGCAGGGATTTGTAGGTAGTTGGATCACTAAATGAATCAACTCACAGTGCATTTTGGCTTTACAGTATGTCCTTTTACCCATAAAACCACCATAAACATTGAGGGCGACGCATCCTCCTCAATACTGGTCAACAGTCAAGCACCTAGCATCCAACTACTGAACTCCTGCGGCGTTTTAGATGTAGCTTATAGTGTACCAGTAGTGATAGTTTACATGTTTGCCTTCCATGAAGGCCGAGACCTGATTTGCGAATGGATGAAAAGCTTGAATGAAGTAGGCAAATGACACACCAAATTAGCGTGAACGTCTGCAACTGCCAAGAACGTTTAAGACATGACTCAATGGAACCTGATTGGGATCGATCAAGACTTGTTTTTTAATCACCTGAGTGGATGTTTGGATACGTAAATGCAGTGATCAGTAGTTGCCTTGTACCACACATGCACCACAAAAACCATATACCTCAAACATTTGCGCAACTATTCAATATATTACAATAAATAAACCGGGATCTGAACATTGTGAGCTGAAAGGAATCACATATCCACACATTCTTATTACTTTAAAATCAAACCTGTGTGGTGTGTATTTCAGATTAGTGAGCACAGACAAAGTGTGAACAATGAAGTAGAGAACATTTGAAACATAATTTAAAAATAACCAGTAGGTAAAAGCATGATTCAGTGCTCGCTGGAGTAATCTGGTTAGAGCTCTGTATTTTGTACTGATAAATAAAAAGTATTTGTTCTGTCTACAACTGTTGTGGTGAATCTGAACTAAATATGCGATGGGCGATAAAAGACGAAGCATTTTCCTGACGTGGACAAAAAGGTTTCACAAGATTCAAGATCTTCAAATTAAAGAGAAATAAAGTACCTTGTGCACAAATTATGACTCATTCTTGTCTTATTCATGTTTGCAAGTTCAAACTGAGGAGTTGAATGTTTTACTTTTTATCGTCGTTTTGAATATTTCTGTTTAGCCTGATTGTTTTAAAGTGATAGTTCACTCAAAAATTGAAATTCTGCCATTATCTGCCAACTCTCACATTGCCCCAGACCTTTATGACTTATTTTCTTCAGTGGAACACATAAAAAGATATTTGGAAGAAGGTTGGATTACTTGACTTTTATTGGATTGACAAAATTAATTCTTGAAATGATCTTCTTTTGTGTTCTGCAGAATAGCCATGAAGTCATACAGGTTTAGAACAACCTAAATGACATTAACAATCACATACTTTTTTATTTTTGAGTGAAATATCTCTAAGTAAAAAATAAAAATGAATTATTATTATAAAATAAGGTGCTATTTATCCACCAGACTGATGGAATCAAAAATTAATGGCCTTAGAACAATAAAATTTCACATTCAAAGCCAGTTTTGCACATATAATACAAACCTGGTTATTAATATAAATGCTTATTACAACAAATTTAATATGGTTACCATTCGTTTGATGTACCTTGTCCATTTTCATGCCAGTTAAATCCTCAATTAGTTAAACAGAGTAATTAAAAACCATTTTAAATGACAATATTGATCAATTTAATAGATCAATCATCAGCAGTTTACAGAAATCTTCTCAATACCAAACGTCAAGTGTGTAAGAGGACACATAACTCTTGTGCTTTGTCACCTGAGGCCAGTTGAAGGGACAGGTCACCCAAAAATAAAAATTCAGTCTATATTTTATGTCCTTGTGAATCCATATACTGATATTTTTCTGTATTACACAAAAAAAAAGTAAAAGTCTGAATTTTTATTTTTAGTGTGAACTACTTCTTTAATATGTAATCTGAACAACACTTCCAACATTTGTAAATTGGAGCATGTCAAGTAGCTCATAACTTGTGGAAAATTATTTCTAGAGCTGCTTAAAAAAATCCACAGTGCACTGTACAAAGTTATCAACATTTAAGTCAAACACTAGACAAAATGAGTGCATTTGAGTTGAGGAGAGAAAGCTCACTTCCCGTCATGACTCCAAGCACAAATGAGGATTGCATCCAAACCCTCAAACTAAAACCATAAATATAATACAAGATAAACCCTTGGAGTAAGAATGTTTAGAGGCAAGACCCATTTACAATTTACCAAAATACCTCTAAAAAGCCTGAATGAATAACGGCATGCCATTTTCCCTTGTATAAAAAGTAAACAGTGGCATTGCGTCTCAGTGGCGGAAGTTCAAAACCTGATTGAACCAGTCAAAAATAAAAAAAGAGTTTTTTTTTGTTCTCTGTTCACATTGGCAGGCACTATTGGAGCAGGATGAGAACTCAATCTGAATCAGACAGAACGATCACTTCCTCTGGGTCACACTGAGTCGCCACGTTCACCTGTGAACACACGAATGACAGGAGTTACAGCTTTACTCGGCCTATAACGCTGTATGTAATGCTCAGTCACAGTGTTACTGTAAACTAAAACTATCAAAAAAAAAAAAAAACATACGTTAATTGAAATCAAATAGAAAAAAACGTTGTTATACTTTCAGTGGTGCAAAGCCAGTTATTTCTGAAAATAACTATTAAAATGAAACAACAACTAATAAAACCAACAAAATGACTAATCTTTAAACTAAAATGAAAAATATAAAAATAAAAACTATTATTAATAAATACTACAATACTGTAGTCATGATACTAAAATAACACTGCAGTCATTTTATTAAGATGCTTGAGAAAATTGTAATAGAATGCAGTTATGCTAAAATGTTTTTTAGTATTAATAAATATAATTATTTTGCATATTTAATTTATTATCTAATATTTATATAGAAACACAACAAACTGATGCCTGGAGTTTCTGATTTTGATGGGAGAAAAACCAAATAAATAAAGCTGATGTAAACCAATAAAACTTGTTCCCTAAAGAGTGAATTACAGCGATATTCTTCTAGTTTTTATTTTTAGGTTTTAGGACAAAAACAATAATATACAGTCTCTCTTGTTTTTCTTTATTTCCTCTACCTCCATCATTTCAGTAAATATTTTAGTAAGTTGCCAAGCCAACATTTCTCATTTTTGTTCAAAGTACTAAAACAAAAACTGAAAATTACTATATTTACCAAATACACATATTTAAAAAAATATTTTAAATTCCTACAACTTAAATTCAAAATAAAATAAATAAATAAATAAAATAGATAAAAATAAAAACTAGTTCAAAATATTTATAAATAATATAGTACTACATTAATGAAAATGAAAACGCTGCAGTGAATTTATTGCGATGACTGAGAAAGTTGCAATGGAGTACAGTCATGCTCGAATATTCCTGAGCTCTTAAAATCAGCCTTTTTGCTACAGGAATGGTGTAATAATAACATGAAAAAGCAATGCAGCAGAGATTCAGATGCTTTTTACTGCACTGTTTCAATGCTAAAACCAAACGGACACAGTCACCTTATTTTTCTTAGGCGGTGGTGTGGCTCGTGCGCTTCTGACCATCGTCCTGGTCAAGTCTACTTCTCCAGGGCAGCAGATCACACCCATATCCAGAGGAATATCACTGAGATAAAGAGAATGAGAAAAAAAAGCACTGCATAAAGAAAGCTCTCACACTCGTGTCGGTCCAAACCCGTATGGATTTCTTCCTCCAGAAGAACACAAAAGGAGAAAATCAGTATTCACGGAAAATCTTGACATCCGCCCTAGCACAGATCAGCAGCCATAGATCTTCTTGACATGTTCACGAGACCGAAATCTTGGCAATGGATGATTCATCATCATTCTTTAAAGTTGGTTCTTTTGAATGAAATCATCAAAAAAAAAAAAAAACATACGTTAATTGAAATCAAATAGAAAAAAACGTTGTTATACTTTCAGTGGTGCAAAGCCAGTTATTTCTGAAAATAACTATTAAAATGAAACAACAACTAATAAAACCAACAAAATGACTAATCTTTAAACTAAAATGAAAAATATAAAAATAAAAACTATTATTAATAAATACTACAATACTGTAGTCATGATACTAAAATAACACTGCAGTCATTTTATTAAGATGCTTGAGAAAATTGTAATAGAATGCAGTTATGCTAAAATGTTTTTTAGTATTAATAAATATAATTATTTTGCATATTTAATTTATTATCTAATATTTATATAGAAACACAACAAACTGATGCCTGGAGTTTCTGATTTTGATGGGAGAAAAACCAAATAAATAAAGCTGATGTAAACCAATAAAACTTGTTCCCTAAAGAGTGAATTACAGCGATATTCTTCTAGTTTTTATTTTTAGGTTTTAGGACAAAAACAATAATATACAGTCTCTCTTGTTTTTCTTTATTTCCTCTACCTCCATCATTTCAGTAAATATTTTAGTAAGTTGCCAAGCCAACATTTCTCATTTTTGTTCAAAGTACTAAAACAAAAACTGAAAATTACTATATTTACCAAATACACATATTTAAAAAAATATTTTAAATTCCTACAACTTAAATTCAAAATAAAATAAATAAATAAATAAAATAGATAAAAATAAAAACTAGTTCAAAATATTTATAAATAATATAGTACTACATTAATGAAAATGAAAACGCTGCAGTGAATTTATTGCGATGACTGAGAAAGTTGCAATGGAGTACAGTCATGCTCGAATATTCCTGAGCTCTTAAAATCAGCCTTTTTGCTACAGGAATGGTGTAATAATAACATGAAAAAGCAATGCAGCAGAGATTCAGATGCTTTTTACTGCACTGTTTCAATGCTAAAACCAAACGGACACAGTCACCTTATTTTTCTTAGGCGGTGGTGTGGCTCGTGCGCTTCTGACCATCGTCCTGGTCAAGTCTACTTCTCCAGGGCAGCAGATCACACCCATATCCAGAGGAATATCACTGAGATAAAGAGAATGAGAAAAAAAAGCACTGCATAAAGAAAGCTCTCACACTCGTGTCGGTCCAAACCCGTATGGATTTCTTCCTCCAGAAGAACACAAAAGGAGAAAATCAGTATTCACGGAAAATCTTGACATCCGCCCTAGCACAGATCAGCAGCCATAGATCTTCTTGACATGTTCACGAGACCGAAATCTTGGCAATGGATGATTCATCATCATTCTTTAAAGTTGGTTCTTTTGAATGAAATCAGATGATCTGGTTCACAAAAACAGTCTGAATGAGTTCAAGTTCAACGGCTCACTGGTGACTGACTAACTAGAGGTAAATCAAAAATAATTAAAATGTTTAGTAAAAACCCATGGAAAACCATCCTTGATTTTATATATATATAAAATTCGACTTTATTTTACTTGCTTTAAACATTTTCACTATAATAATCAACATAGCCAAAGTTTGGTCAAAAAAGATTCAGATAAAAAAATTTGGGGGGAAAAATGATAGAAAATAGATAAATATTCATAGATTAATATTCATAATCGTGATAAAAAAATATTAATGGTGAAAAATATACTTTTTGTGAAACTATCTACACAAATCAAAAACAGCAGACGGGCTGAATGAGATGCAAATTCACTCTCTGACAGCAGGTGGCGCTTATGGAACAGCAGAAATATAGAGTTTTCTAGGTTACTGCTGTAAACAAAGCAGCGCTGCGCTCATAAACACTACATTAATATGCTTTATACAGAGGCAAGATGAAAAGAAAATACCATCTAAACTTTTCTGAAGACAGTCAGTTCCCCTCAGAGACAAATTTATATAAACTCCCACCACCAACTGTATCAGGTTTCATTTAACATCTCAACTGACTTGAATCGTGACATATTTTGATAGATTTTCAACCGGCTCGCATCGTTACGTCCTTATAATTTAATAGCAAGTTATTAATTACACAACTTCTCATGGCAAGTTGGTTTGATCCGTTCAGTTTTACCTGTCCTGTGTGCAGTTCCCATTGTAGGTGGCCGTTTGGTTTCCAGTCGAGGGTCGTTTCCTCTTCTTGTAGTTGCCCATCTCGTCGATCAGTAAAGGGCTTGTTGGAGGTAGAGGACTGCAGTTGGCTGATCTCACGGGGGTTGACGGCGAGTCCTGATCGGTGGAGAAAGTCTCAGTGCAGTTAGCCGTGCTTTCAGAAACAGATTTTATGTGATTAGTAGAAATCAGTTCTGTTTTGCTGATAGGCAACCAGTCCATGGTCTCTGACTGACTGACGCTCTCTGTGGATGAAGGGCTTTGTTTCACAGGTCTGCCTTTTGTGCTCGTTTCCACAGGTCCCTCCTCATGTGAGCTGCTGGCTGGAGACCGCTGGTCGTCATCGCCCTGATCCTCCTCTGTGTCCTGCACAGATGATTTGATTGACAGAGGAGAGTTCTCATCCATCGGCTGATCATGGTCACTGGTGTTCAACTGCTCCTCTTCAACGTCCTCTTCATCATCATCTGAAACACGTCAGAAAATGAGAAATGGGGTTTCCCGCCAGGAAATGGGCTTATTACATACAAGCAACATGAAGGAAGGAGATGAAGATGATTTATGCACTTCTTACCTGGACCAGCTTGCTCTTGACTGGCTTGGATCTCCTCTTCAATGTCAGGATCAGAGGAATCATCCTCTTCTTCATCTTCCTCCTCCTCTTTTTCATCCTGTTCCTCCCTCTCTTTTTCTTTGCTGTCACTCTGCTGCCCATTAAGTGCCTGAAAGCGTGACGGAAGCAAGGGCGTAAATTTCATCTAACAGTAGGGGGGGACAATAAACATAAAACATAAAAAGAGCTATTTTTGAAGGGGACACAAATAATACAGCCAAAAATCAGTGTACACAGCATGGAGAGCGTGTTTAAATATGAGTTAGGTTCATAGGTTCACCACGCGGTCATATAATTATTAAATTATTTTGCGTCCTCTACATAGCATTTTAGGTTTCGTCTGGGATTGAGGACGTCTCTTATTTAGATATTCAACCGCAGCAAGCCCACATCTGCCACTTAAAGGATTTTTTTATGGATGGGCGATTTTTTTTTTTAAGTTCTTTTGGACTGAAGCAATGCAACACCCGCTGAGTGGCATTAAACAGCTTGAAAGATCAAAGACAATTTTTAATATAACTCCGACTGGATTCGTCTGAAAGAAGAAAGTCATATACACCTAGGATGCCTCGGGAGTCGGGGGTGAGTAAAACGCAGCCTAATTTTCATTTTTGGGTGAACTAACCCTTTAACATCATACTGAGCAAAACCCAACACAACGGTAGATCTACAATATTAGCCTAATATCAGTTTACACACAGGCTTATCGCCGTGTTAGTCGTAGTGGGTGACTTACTATCCAACAAGCTACCAAACAAGCTAGGTAACCTTATAATCGCTCATGGAAAAATACATCGGACATCATCATATTTTGTCATGACTAATTTATTAATGATCTAGCATCATCTGTATTAAAGAGAAAGAATCATTTTATCCAATGTTTAAAGTCAATAATGGCGCTTGTCCACTGCATAGTACGGAACAGGATGGCTCGGTATGGTTCACTTTTGGGGGGGGTTTTCCACTGGGTACAGTACCTGGTACTTTTTTTAGTACCACCTCGGTTGGGGTCCCAAGCGAACCGTACCGTTACCAAACCGTGACGTGTAAACTCTGCTGATCACGGATTGGCCGGAGAGAATCGTCACTATCTACGTCACTGAACTTGCGACACAAACACAAAAGAACCGCTAGATTTAAACCAGCACAGCCAGCGAAGAATCGAATGCAACTGTTTTGAACGAGCGCACCTTTTTTTAACAACCAAAAAGTGGCTGTTCCCCCTGTTGAGGAAGTACAGACGCTCCTCTCGTTGATAGCAACGGAAGGGTCAGCTGACCCATACTAAACTGTGAACGTTTTCACAGATCAAAATAGTGATGTACATGACTCAGGGAAGGGTCAGCTGACCCATAGTGATAATTTTCATTTTTGGGTGAACTAACCCTTTAACATCATACTGAGCAAAACCCAACACAACGGTAGATCTACAATATTAGCCTAATATCAGTTTACACACAGGCTTATCGCCGTGTTAGTCGTAGTGGGTGACTTACTATCCAACAAGCTACCAAACAAGCTAGGTAACCTTATAATCGCTCATGGAAAAATACATAGGACATCATCATAATTTGTCACAAACACAACAGAACCGCTAGATTTAAATCAGCACAGCCAGCGAAGGATCGAACGCAACTGTTTTGAACGAGCACACATTTTTTTAACAACCAAAAAGTGTCTGTTTCGTTATTTGTTGAGGAAGTACAGACGTTCCTCTCGTTGATAGCAGAGGAGCGGATCCAGCGAGAGCTTGATGGGGCGACGCGGAGTGCCGAGCAGAGTCGTACCACGCAGTGGAAAAGCGCCATAAAATAGCCTTGAGAGCCTGCTTACACATAACTACCGAAGGACTGTTCTCTCCCACCGGACTCGAGTGTGTGTCAGTGAGGTAAAGGGGGAAAGCAGGCAGTGGACCAAACCACTGTGAGGCAAGGGCGAACTTTCTAAACTTAAAAAGTTTTTTTTTTACTAACACAATTTTAAGTATATGTCATTATATTATTTACAATACACAGAGTGGTTTGTAATGATATTTACAATTTATGCCCCTGGACGGAAGGACAAACAGATTCAAGACTGCTTATGGTTTCAAGGAGATCCTCGCTTCCTTTTGGACAATGCAAAAACAGGACAAAATATATTTTTATACATTTTAAATATTTTATTTATATTTTAAATAAAGTCATTATGTAATATTACAACAGCATTATTTACATCAAGAAACAAAGTAATTGTTTATATGTATTATTTGTATTATAATTCATTATAATTGTTTGAAAACATTATTTTATGTATTAATTAAAATAGAAAATATTTTATTTATAAATGATTTTTCATCAGTATCGCTCCATCAAAAAACAAGGTTTTTATTTTAGTATTTTTATTTATTAAATATAAATCATAATTATTTTCAATATTTCAAATCATATTTATTATATTATTTATTTATTTGTTTGTTTGTTTACTTGTTTAATATGTATTTGATCACATTTTAAGTATTTTACATTTTAGTTTGATTCTATAACTGAAGGCATTTCTGATTCCACTGGAGAAAAACCAAATACTGCACATGAAACTGATGCAAACCAATGAAAAGAATCATTGCATGAATGATTTAAAGACAAAACAAGAATATATTTTGTTCTTTTACCTCCTTTTTCTGTCTGTCTCTCTCTTGTTTCTTCCTCACTTCCTCTACCTCCACATCTTCCTGTTTATTGGCGTATTTGGTGATCACGTCCTCCAGGCTGCTGAGAGCCACGTCTCTGTTTGAGCGGAGCTTGCGATGCAGTGCTGGATCAGTGAGTGCAGGGTCTAACGCTGAAGAAAACAGGGAAATTCACCACACATGCTGAACGTACAATCACTAAATATTAGTCCATCCATGTTTACATCAATCCAGAAATGTGCATAAACTGTTGGTGAGTGTAAAGCATCGGACTAATACAATACGACTTGATTATGTTCTCAAGCTGAATTGGAGAGTAACTGAATTGAATTACTGGGTTTGTAGGAATCTGTGAGGTGGGAGCCGAAGTTGTAGACCATGTCAAGATGGCGTCTCTCCTGCAGTTTGTTGCCCGTCTCCCTGAAGGCTTCTTGAGCGATTTGTGTTATCTGTTTGCGGGTGAGCTGGAGATTGTAGCGTTCGTTGGCGTGCTGAGCCACCTTCAGGATATCCGTGTAGTCCGGCGGATTATAAAGAGCTTCTGGACTGTTAATATAACGTTCAATCTACAAACCAAAGAGAAAAGACGACAGTAAAGACAAAGGAAAGGAAAATTATTCATTATTTTCTTAATATTTGCTCCCTGGATTTCATTCCATGAGCAATGTATTTTTCATTTACATTTTTTTTTTTAATCTGAATAAATTTAAGAAAAACATCAAAAAAAAGTCCTGGTAATTTCTGATGCCATTTCATTTTAAGTTTGCAATCCATTTCTGATCAAAGCTTTACAGAATGGTTCTTCAGCCAAACATCTGTTTCAATCATGTGATCACTGACTGCTAATAAACAAATCAAACAATCTGATAAATCAAATCAGTCGATCTCTGCAAGGATTCAAGGGAAAAAAATGAGGATGGTGGAATCACAGAAAAACCTTTTTCTTCATATACTGGAATATTCTCGATCTCTCAAGTGACACTTCAAAACATCATCAGCTGAGCTCAAGGCATGTTTTCTGAGCTCAAGCTCGGTTATTTCAGAAATCCATAAAAAGCATTAATAATGCAAGATGCCCAGACAGATTACATATTGTGAGCGATATAAAGGGGGAGGAGAATTTACACTTGTGTCAAGTTTTTCGATAGGAAACACCCCATTTATAGCACTTCTGAAAACATCCTCATTCCTCGCTGTGCAATTAGAGAATTGAGATGTCCTTCAAGATGGCTAACTTTTATTAATATCATAGGCTCGAGGACAGAGGAGTGGGGAAATGAGGAAGCATTATTTTGAGTAATGAGAATCTAGAGAGCTAATCTCGAGGATTTCACAAGCAAAAGAAGAACCTTTTTGTTGATCTCTGGGTATCGTGTTCCACTGTAGGCAATCTTCTGCTCGATCACGCGCCCCGTCAGCATGTTGCAGCCCTTCAGCTCACACAGTTTCTCATAGATCTTCATCATCTGAGAGCACAAAAAGAGCATTAAAGATCCGAACAAGACCCGATAAAATCTCATTACTTCAAAGTCATTTGACTGCATTAAAATGGTTTGATTTACTATGACAACATACCGGAACTTCCAGAACTCTGTATCCACCTTTTTCTTGTCGTAAAAATTGGCGCGGCCATTTGTAAATTCTATGGGTCTGGCTTCCGGTCTCATCTGCGTCCACTCCTTCCAGCTATTTTTAGCTGAACAAAACAGTTCGTTTTGCTGATATTGAAAGTTGGTGTGTCTTATCATATTATTTTAATGTATTATCTTAATTATGAACACTGGTTTGTAGTGCAAACAGTTTTACAGTTTACTGCACTTTGTTATTCTCCTCGTTATTTACATATAGCGGCTAATGAACCGGAAGTCTCACCCATAGGCTTACTTCCGCGTTGAAGAAAAAGGTGGATATATAGGACCATTTATTGAAAACAAGGTACAAAGACAACTTTCCCTGAACTTTCAATTTAACTGAACCAAATCAGGAAGGCTAAAGCAGGAATGAAGAGACTTGCCTTGCGTTTGAGCTTGTGCTCCTGAATATAACTGGAGTCCTCCTCCTCCAGATCCTCCACGCTCAGCTCCCGCTCCTGAAGCCGTCGGATCTCCTCATTATACACCTTCAGCAGGTTTTCCAGGTATGCTATCTGAAACAGAACATGGCAGACACACAAATTACAATGTACATAAACATTTATCGGAAGTCAAAAGAGCTCTCAGCTCATTTCAATGTCCACAAGTATAAAGCACAACAGTAGGGTTTCAAGAAGTAAATTCCAATCATTTTATACATAAAAAATATCTGTAACATCAACAAATAAACCGGTACAGATCTAGCACGAACAGATATTTTTAAGTATTGATATTTTCTGTAGAAGCCTACTTATACACTGTAAAAAAAAATACGTAAAAATAGGGCACTTATAGTACTGTATTAATTATGAAGAAATTCTCCATATTTATTTTTTACAGGTGTTTTACCTGTATTTTGAATTTTGCACTTCTTTGCATTGTGTTTTATGGTTAATGGAAATGTCCATAAGACTACTGGATAACATCCTAGCAGAAAATTACCAGTATATTTTGTGTGTGTGTTTATTTTTTTTTGTAATGCATGCTGCATGTATTGGAATATTGTGCAATAAACTTAAAATATCGTCATTTGGTTGCATGCTTCATTATATGAATAGCACATTCCCTCATAAAAAAATATATAAAATAAAAAATTCTGTATTCACTAAAAAGTGCAGTAAAACGACACAAAGTCAAACTTCACAGTTCTTATAGTAAAACTCTTTTATGGTCAGACGTTGTTGCATTCAAATAGGAATCTCCCAAATCCCACTTTAAATGAGAAACAGAATGCACAACAAATAAACAACTCAACAAGAATTTTTAAATCCCTATGGAGAAAATTAATGGAACCAATGTTTTTGAAAACCAATAGTGTCAATAAAAATCCAAGTCCACAAATCGACCTTCTCAATATATACAATGAGTGCATCTCTCAGTTACGCTCTAATACCTGTCTCCTTGAAGCCCTTTTTGTTTTCTTCGTTTCCTCGTCGCCCTCTTGCTTTTTCTCTTCTCCTTTAACCAGCACCTCCTCCGCTACATTTGTCCCATTGCTCTTTTGCTCAGGTTTTGTTTGGGAGGGCACAGCCTGTATGGAGCTCCTTTTCCGAGCTGTGTGCTGTTTAAGAACGGTGCAGAGTTCATTAATGAAGACGAAGGTTTTGCCAGCGTTGGCCTGGGCTCGTGTGAGGCAGCGGCCCAGAGTGTTACGGAACTCCACCGATGTCAGGAATGTCGGCAGCGCCTTGGAGTATCTGGTCTGCAGGTAGGTCATGACCTCCGGATGATCTTGCGAGTGTTTGGAGCAATGATCCACAAACTGGACCAGCAGGATGAAGGGACGGCATTGGGTTGGATTGGGCGGGACAAACAAGGAGGAAAAATAACATTTTTATAGGATAACAGAAAAACAGGGTTTCTGCCGGTTTATAAATGTAAGACTTTAAAATGAAAATTCTGTCATTAATTACTCACCCTCATATCGTTTCAAACCCGTAAGACCTAATAAAGACCAAACCCGTGCGGCTAATAATTTCTGAATTCTGACTGGCATATAACGAACAAATCAAACAAACGTAAACGGGCAAAGGCGGGGCCCATGGGCTGCAGCCCACTCAAGCCCAATGGTAAGTCCGGCTATGCGTGTGACGCAGCTGACACAGGACAGCATACGTTGTTTACGTCCAGCTGATATTCTCCAAATGGCGCTACAGGGTGATGCGGAGGAGACGAATTATTGAATAAAGTCTTTTGTTTTTTGTTTTTTTTTGCGCACAAAAAGTATTCTCGTAGCTTCATAAAATTACGGTTGAACCCCTGATGTAACATGGATTCTTTTACCAATCTCCTTGTTATGTTTCTGGACTTGGGAACATTTCAGTTGTATTGCTGTATATGGGAGGGTCAGACAGCTCTCAGATTCCATCAAAAATATCTTAATTTGTGTTCTGAAGATGAACGAAGTTCATAACGAAGTCTTACGGGTTTGAAACAACATGAGGGTGAGTAATTAATGACAGAATTTTTGGGTGAACTAACCCTTTAAGACCAAGTAAAGAAAATGTAAGGAATAAATTGAATGGAACGCAATAAGGCAATATGGTCTCTAAATGTAAATGTCTTGTATAAAAGATTTTTAAATACAGCTTCCAAAAGATCTACATTACATTTTAGTTCATTTTACACACACATATGAAAAAAAGTGATGTTCTTCATCAGTATTTTGGATTTGTTTTCCAGCGCAAATGTCTAAAGATTCTTCAATCAAGACACATTTACTTGAGAAGCATGATCAAAATGAAGTGAGTTAATGATTCAAATAAGAACAAATATCTGCCAGTGGGCTCAGAAAAATCTACTTAATTCAGAAAACAACAAACATTTGTTCGTTTAAGCATAAACTTGCTTAATTTTGTTCAATTTCTCAGAAAACAAGACTTCATATCTTAAGATTTAAGGATGTATGCATTGGAAAACAAAAAAATACTGAGGTGGATATTCATTTTTGCAGTGTATGCAACATTTATGGCCATGACTTTATGAATTTATCCTCCAGTTTAAAGGGGTCATATGATGCTATTTTAAAGATCATTATTTTGTGTATTTGGTGTAACAGAATATGTTGACATGCTTTAATGTTCAAAAAACACATTATTTTTCAAATACTGTACATTATTGTAGGTCCTCTATGCCCCGCCTCTCTTACAAACTGAGATGCCAAAATCCGTATGTACCTAGAGAACAACATATTCATTAATGTCATACTTCTGCGTGCAGGAGACAATTGTGTGTTAATAAATGCAATATTACGGGCAAATTATTTCAATATTTTTATAGACGTGTTTTTGTCATAAAAAAAAATTAAATAAAATGCTCTTTAAAATAGTTTTGGATGGTATTTGTCACCACTGTAATAAAAAAAAAACTAAAGACAGAAGATATATAATGATCAGTAATGATTTTTACAATAATATCTAGTAACTATGGCATTTTGGCGGTAACTATTTACCATGGTACCTTTTTGATTTACTTCCCAAGTAACTAGACTTAGTGGATGACTACTGCCAATGACATCTTGACATTATAATACTGATAATTTCATGATATAAGGATATAAATATGATATTTTAGCTTAGATCGCCTGCTGATCTGGAGACTGTAGCTCTTTAATTCCGTCGTATACTACAGCTTCCTTCCGTTTACTTGTTAAAAAAAGCCTTAAAACATCGATATTGAAATGTAACTTCATAACATATCAGGTTCCTCACAATCTTCACAAGCGCATCACAAAAATAATTTTCAGTATGATAAAACTTCGTTATTGATCAATCAATAAAAAGACATTTTGGAAAGAACTTACGCGCTCGGATCCTGAAACTCTCAGCGCTGGATCTTTGTACAGCTCAACATGAGGCGCGCTGATTCGCTGTCGGCCAGTAATCTGATCACTCATTGGCTGAGCGCTGCGTGTTTCTTCTGCGGTTTGTTTTCGACGCAGGGAATTCGGATGCTTGTGAGCGCCGTGCAGGGGACGGGAGACCCTACAGAAGCTCACTTCAGTTACCAGTGTGGTAGATTTTTAATATATATAGTACATTGTTGTTAAGTATAGCCTGGAAACAGAATTAATTAAATCTGGAAACTGCAGGAATCTGGATGAAATGTTTAATTTCAGCAACTTTTTCGACTCAGAAACTTTATAATATGAAGAAAACAATCAGAGCACAAATCTGCACCAGTCAAATTATATTAAACTGCTCTCTTGGTGTATGTTTTTAATATGTTTTCTTAATTAAAAATGTATTATATTTATTTTTTAATAGACCAGTTGGCAGCACGCCACCATTAAAGAGAAGCTAGAGCGTTTGGTAAATAATTGTAGCTCAGAATTGGGGATGCTTTTTAATAAAATTTGGGAAACACCCAACTGTACGTTCATTGGTCATACAGGTTGAAAAGAAATGTATATATAAAAAAAAGAGAGTTACATGTCAGATTGTTAGATGATCTGCGGGAATCTCGGCTTTGTTGTTTTGGTCAATAAAGTCTGATTTTGGCATCTGGAACTTCTTGACTCGAGAGATTCTTTAGAAAAAGACAAGACTTTCTTTGACATGACCAGCTAATGGTCATAAATTCTGCCTACTAATGAAATCCTCTCGTTAGCAACAAAAAATAAAAAAAAAATAACTTCATACACAAATAACTTAACAATTAAAGAAAACGATAACTATAAAATGAAAACCCATTTTTATTTCTTCCTTTACTAATTTAATTATTCAAATTATCATTCATGCACAAATTTGTAGATTTATTTATTGTATTTTCTTTTTATTTAAAGGGGTCATATGATGCGATTTCAATTTTTCCTTTCTCTTTGGAGTGTTACAAGCTCTTGGTGCATAAAGAAGATCTGTAAAGTTGCAAAGACTAAAGTCTCAAATCCAAAGAGATATTCTGTATAAAAGTTAAGAGTCAACCACGCCTACCTAAAATGGCTCGTTCTAACACGCCCCCACATATCTACGTCACTATCTGGGAAGATTTGCATAACGCCGGCCAAATGTTCACGCAAAGAAAGAAGGCGTAACTTTTATTCTCGCTGTAGTATTGTTGCCGCCGCCATGTCGTCAAGACGCTGTGTGTTTCGTTGTGAAAGCGAAACTACTTTGTTTGGCCTTCCAAAAGAGGACGATATCCGCTTCGTCATGCCTAGAGCTGATCCGTGCTGGTCGCTGAGGAAATACTACAACTTTGTGCTGTGGATCGCCAGATCGGCTTTCACCGTGGACGAAGCGGAGTCCAGCCCGGGGTCGTCACATGTGGTGGCCGCAAGCCCTGCGGACGCCGCTCACTCTAGCCTCCGGCCGTTCCTCACTTTATCCCCCGGTCTCTGCTCACTCAAGGCTGAAATCAGTGGTTAAGTTGTATTTACAAAACTGTTCCAGAACAGTTCAACCCAAATATTCAGATGTGTGCAGCGCATTTTATGGAGGACTGTTTCCTGATCCTGGAAGAGTAGACTACAATGCCGGCTGTTCTGACTCAAAGACTGTAAGTACGTTTTTTTATATTTAAAGAGTTTTTATATTTTATATATTTAAAGCGAGTTTTTTGAGCAGTGTAGAGTAGCGCTTGTTGTTTGTCATTTCTCCGATCACAAATGCAGACATGGTTTTATGTTTACGCGGCGCGATGCAACGCAGCGCGTAAAAAGACAGTATAAGTCATTATAATCCATAATTATGTCCCCACTGGATGCAACGAATGCCTCGTTTGTAATGGGTTTTCATGTTTTTGAATCATCGCTCCGGCCTGACAGGGCATCATCACAGTATGGTGAGGGGCGTAATATTTCCGTCACACGCTTGAGGTATTCGGCCAATCATAACGCACTGGATAGCTGGCCAATCACAGCACACCTTGCTTTTCAGACCGATGAGCTTTGTAAAAATCGACACGTTTCAGAAAGGCAGGGCATAGAGGAGAAACAATAATGTACAGTATGTGGAAAATAATGTGTTTTTTGAACCTTAAACCGCATAAACACATTTCATTACACCAAATACACAAAATAATGTTCTTTTTAGCAACATCATATGACCCCTTTAAACATTTTCCCTTCATACTTATAATGTCTGAATTAATTTTGTTTTCACTTTCATCAATCCAATCTAAGAAAACCTCACAGTGATTGGTGATGTTCCACTTGGCCTAAAAAATCTATTGGCTGGAATTTATAACCTTGAGACGAGGCAACTTTTCATATGATAACAATTTATCAGTCAAAGTCCAAACATGCGAGCTGTAGTTCTGCTCCTTGAAGTTACTCTCGCCTGTGCTGGTGAGCAAATGGTTTAAAGTTAACTGTGTTTAAGTAAACAGTATGATTCGATATTTCAAAGTTATACACTAAAACCATATATAGTAGCTGTGGAGTCCAATAATTATATTTAATAGGCCAAAACCAATTTTATTGTGTTAAACATGATGTTCTGTCTCAAAGTTATGAGTTTTTATAACAGGAACAGTTTCATTTGTAACCTGAATGCAGTGGTGTGTCCAGAGTTATGAATCTGTTTTTTGTTGTTGCTGTTGTTTGTTTTTTTTGTTGTTTTTTTTGGTCCATTTAAATGGAAGTCAGTGGGGTCCAGTTTTGTTTTTGGACTCCATGTTCAATTGTATATGGACAAAACTGTTTTAAAATATTTATAATAACTATAAATGTATTTTAAAATAATGTGTGTGTGTGTACTGGTTTATATAACCTGGTGGGGACTTAAACCTGACTACACACAGACTCATGGGGACTCGTGTCATGGTGGGGACCTAAAGTAAACATTGTTTGTCCACAGGAACACACTCTCTGAAATACTTCTTCACTGCTGTGTCTGGAGACATTGACTTCCCAGAATTCACTATTGTTGGTCTGGTCGATGAAGAACAGTTTATTTACTTTGACAGCAATATGAAGAAAGTTGTGCCAAAAACTGAGTGGATGAAACAGAAAGAAGGAGCCGATTACTGGGACACACAATCTCAGCTGGCAGCTGGAACTCATCAGGTGTTCAGAAACAACATACAAGTCGCAAAAGAAAAGTTCAACCACTCAACAGGTCTGTTCATCATGAACACACAAAAATACACACAAAATACAATCACAGAATATAGTGGTATTATTGCAATGTTACCTCACACACCTGACCCCAAAAAGTTTTTGAGCACTTTAGATACAAAAGAAAAATTAATTACCGGTATATGATAACAAAATATCAAGTGGCAATGAGAAAAATGATTTTTTTTTTCGAACAAACTTCTCCTTTAAGCAAATTGTTTAGTTTAGCTGGCAGCCATGTGGTCACCCAGCCTGACATGAAAAAAAAATCTGACTGTATGAACTGTTTTTTTTTTCATACAATATACATACATTGTCTCTGTTCCTCAGGTGTGCACACATTTCAGCTGACGTATGGCTGTGAGTGGGATAATCAGACTGGAGCAACAGATGGCTTTCGTCAGGAAGGTTATGATGGAGAGGACTTTATGTCTCTGGATTTGAAGGAGATGAGATGGATTTCACCAGTGCAGCAAGGATTCAGCACCCAGAACAAGTGGAACAATAACAGAGCTTATCTTGAGGGTAGAAAACATTACTTCAGCACTGAGTGCATTGAGTGGCTGCAGAAATATGTGGAGTACAGAAAGAGCAGCCTGGAGAAAACAGGTACATCCGTTCTTATCAAGTTGTGAGCAATGGCATATTTTCCTAAAACAATCTTGTTCTCTGGAGGTCATTATTTAAAGGTGATATATCATGAAAATCTGACTTTTCCAGGTTTTAAGTGCTATGATCAGGTCCACAGTGCATCTAAGGGGCATAATATGTCTCCTTTAAAAAAAAAAAAAAAATTGTTTTATTTACACATTCTGTTACTTCATAGGCCTTTAGGATTTTTAAGCATTATCAATCATATGGTTTTAGTGGAAATTAATAATGGATGTTTTTTAATAGAGCACCATTCATCCTGCATCCCAACCCCAGCTTTATTTTTATTTATTTATATTATTTATTAAATACTACATAGAATTCAAAGCAAAACAGAACTCATTCATTCTTTGTATTATTTTAGTAGAACCTTTTACCCAAAGTGACTACAGCATAATGATTCATCCTAAAGAAACTCTAACATAATAAGTGCTGCAATACCAATTTTTTTCTGGCTAGAAAAGTGGGAGCTCATGCAGAAACTGTATGTAGATGTGAAGTGTTTTTCTGTAGTGGTTACAGCTCAGAGCTGGTAACAGCAAACCATTAATTATCACAATTTTTGGACTTAAGCTGAAGTTGCTTAACCCCAAGTTATCATTTTGGATGAAAGTATCAGCTACTGTAGTCCACTTGTGTTTACTGGAGACTAAGCGTGTCTGATTTCTGTGTGATTTGTAGCAGATGAAGGCTTGGCATCATTGTATTCTCTCTCTCAGTTTCTCCTCAGGTGTCTCTGCTGCAGAAGTCTTCCTCGTCTTCAGTCTCGTGTCATGCTACAGGTTTTTACCCCAGTGGAGTAACAGTCACCTGGATGAGAAATGGACAAGAACATCATACGGATGTAGATCTTAGTGAAACTCTTCCCAATGAGGACAGGACCTTTCAGAAGACGAGCACCATCAGAGTTACACCTGATGAGCTGAAGAAGAACCAGTACAGCTGTGTGGTGAAACATCAGGGCAAAACCATCAGAAAGATCCTGACAGAGAAAGAGATCAGGACAAACAGGGGTGAGAGAAATTAAATAGGTGAACTATGAATACAGTGGTTATATGACTCACATAAAAATGATAAAAAAAGATGTTTCATTGAAAACAGTCCTATGATTTATTAACATGGATATTTATTGAAAAATGAAGAAGTAAAAAGGGTGAAATTGAATTATTTTTCAAACAAAGAAACTAAGGCGTGTGTGTGTGGTCACAAGATATTAGAATTATATATATATATATTTTAGGGCAGGATACTGTAATTTCTTCCATCTTCCTTTATTTAACAAACCTGGTTGACCTGTAGAGAGGGACAAGTAATAAAAAAACAAACAAACACAAAATAATTATCACCTGGCTGGTTGTTACATTGTTTGTTTTGCTCATGTAAACTATAATTTTAGACCTATTTTGTTCATATGTGGTTATTGCACATTTTAAATATGCTATTAAAATATACAAATACACTGCTGATATACAAATATACTTGAGATTTTTTCACCAGTACTGCTTAGTAACATTATCAGACTCTGTGAGTAATCTGATGTATTCTTCTGATCAAACAGGAGACTCTGTTCTCTCTGGCATCATAGTTTTTGCTGTCGTCCTGTTGGTTGTCATTGGTGTCGCTGGATATATTGTGTATCAGAAGAAGAGAGGTGAGGACGGACAACTATGACAGCTTCTTCTGCTGTCCATCTTACTTACACAACTGCACATAAAACACAGGACTTGAGGTTTCTGGGATGGGAACAGAAATGTGAATAAACAAAAACATACATTTTTAGATTTTAACTATTTGACAGATCATTGAATATTAAAGTTACAAATAAATTACAATTAAAAGCTTTTGTTTCTTTTTGTTCATCTTTTTGGTTCATTCATTCATGGACATTTGTTCAGCTGGAAAGTGTATATATTAAATGTATATATTGCTCTTCAGTAACAACGAAGAAAACAAGAATGCACATGATTGATTTATAGGATTTGTGGAAGTTTTATTTGCGTTTGATATCAGTACTGACCTTGAAACCGAAATCCTTGGAAATATGACAAGTGTATCTAGGTTGATTCAGACATATTAAATACCACTTTTAACCAGTTGGTTTAGATGTTACCTCATGAGCATTTCATGGTATATGTTGCTTCATTGCTATATGTTGCTTGGTTTGGCAAATGCATTTCAGTAAATCACAAGATGTGTATGGTAATCTGGATGTAAATAAACATTATGTTTTGACCTTCCAAAAGCTATTATAGGTTTGCTGTTGTAGATTAAAAAGAATGCATAGTAATTAATTGATCTGTATGTGTGGTTAGTGATTAGGACTTAACACTGCCATATTCTTAATATTTCTATTTGAAAGCACTAGTTCATTTCACCCAAACTTTAGATTATACTAATAGAGCATTATTTGATAGATTTCTCTCTGCAATTAAAAAAAAAAATCTATATTTTGCCACTATTGAAATATCATCCTTAATGTGTTTTTTTTGTTTTGTTTTGTTTTTCTTTTGCCAAAAATGCAGTATGCATTTTCTTTGTAATCTGCATTTTCTGTTCAAAGCCTTGGACATTTCAATCCGTGTATCATTCGATCATTTGTTTTTTGATTTAATATTGAAAGTAGAAAAATTAGAAAAAGTCTCCTTCTTCCGTTTTTTCGTTTTTTTTCCAAAAAACGAAAAATGAGAATTCAGCTTAAATTTTCGTTTTTCGTTCAGGGGTAGAAAAATGAATAAACAGCTTGAATATTCGATTTCTACACGTGCAGTTGTATGGATTAATTACTAATTTTATTGTAACTACATTTCATATTTTTCTCATCAAACAGACTAATGAACCCCTATCACATTAAGAACCGCTGGTCTACACAGAAGAAAGCCCTCTGCCCCGGTACGAGTTGTGTCGAGCTATTCATTAGTCTGTTTGATGAGAAAAATATGAAATGTAGTTACAATAAAATTAGTAATTAATCCATACAACTGCAGCAGTGGAGGACTATTATTCTGCTGCGTGATACTGCAAAAGAACTGATGACGGCACGGTTTGATCTTTGGCTGACCAATCAGCAGAAAGGGGCGTTTAATTCCCACCCACGTGTAGAAATAAAATATTCAAGCTGTTTATTAATTTTTCCACCCCTGAGCGAAAAAAGAAAATTTAAGCTGAATTCTCATTTTTCAATATTTGGAAAAAAAATGAAAAAACGAAAAAGGAGCCGTTTTCTTATTTTTCTACTTTCAATATTAAATAAAAAAAAGAATGATCGAATGATACACGGATTCATTTCCTCTATTATAAATAATTTAATAAATGTAATATTGATTATTTAATATAATAATATAATTTAATATAATATAATATAATAATTTTATGAATAATTTTTCTGACATCATACTTGTTTACATAAAGTATTCATCATGTTTGTACCATTGTTGCGCAATAACGCAACTCAAATACAGGGGCCATATTTGACCTACAAAATAATGACATTAAACCCTATAAAGTTATTTTTTTGTTTTGTTTTTGTTTGAGCTAGTTACAGAAAATACAATTCAAATATCCAAAGAATGCTGCAATATGGTCTTTAGTTTGAGACGTTTGATTATTATTATTATTATTACTATTTCAGTCAGATAAAGTAATAAAAGTTTGAATGGGAAATCAAATGTGTGATTAGAACATTCCCTTCACACTCATCAGGTGACTTTATATTACACATATGATATACTCTCTGTATTTTATCTGTTTATAACACAAAGAAAAAAAATGAATGCATCTGCTGCCCGATCCCCTCCAACGACTTCAAAAGTTAAGAGACAGAAAGGCAGGTAACATCCTAATGATTCTCAACAAACAGATCATTACTTCTTTGAAGCTCTACACTAACTAGTATCTCTGTAAACAGTTGAGTTTACATTAATAAACATTAAAACAGTTGAGTTTACATGAATAAAGTTCTGTTTGTCAAAGCTCAGAGTCCCAAAACGGAATAATGGCAACAGTCCTGTAGTATTTAAAATACAATTAATTTACATTTTACATGACAAAATTTGCAGATTTGTTCCAGCATTTTCTATAACTAGCATTAAAAAAAAAAATGTAAGAAAACTTACACAGAGTAACCAACCCGAACACATATAGCAATCTAAAAATCTTAAGCAAAGATTGAAACTCAGTACATACAACTATTCTGAAAGGATTCTTTACAAGACTAGTTTCACTGCATTCTATTCAGCCTTTAAAATCACCTCCAGGTCCAGGTTTACTTCTCCTTCTACAGAACAGACAGAGATATCAAATAAGCAGACAGTTATACCTGAAAACTAAAGATTGCATGAATGAAATGTAAAACTTTTGAGAGTGTTGTTTGCAATGTAGCAAAAAACACATTGTTTACCTTATCCTTTAATTCAGTCTCACTGGAGTCTATATGAAAACAAACAAAATAATCATAAATAAAATTCATGATTAAAACATTCCAGGGCATCTCATATCACAAACACAATATCAGTCTATATAAACTGCAATACGGCATTTTATATATATATATATATTTTTTATATTTTTCACTATAGAGCAGATCATTCTAATGTGATACTACAAAAAAATTAACATTTTGGTGTCCACACTGAAATTTAACTCACCAGAAGAGCAGAATGTCCATGAAAGAAACTTTATCAGGCCATAAAGAACAAGTGCAACAGCGACCATCGCCATCGAGTCCTCAATAGAAGGAGCACTGACACCTGAAATCAACAAAACATCACATCAACACTTACAGAACATTCTGACTGACTTCTTCAGGAAACGCAAATAGAAGATGCACTGAAGTCTAAAAACAATATAGAAGAACACAGTAGTGGGATGAATCAGTGTTCTTGAACTTTTCATCTTTAGTGAAAGGTTAAATCTTCCTATGACAGAATAACTCACCGATCACATTGAGAGTCGCAGCAGCTCGTCGTGTTCCTCCCTCATGTTTGGCCACACAGGTGACTTCTCCACCGCGACCGAGTCCCAGCTTCCCTGAGTCCAGCTCCAGACGGCTGCTCTGACTGAAGGTGCCATCAGTCGCCTGTCTGTGACCCGTTACACTGCCCTGACCCAGAGAGCGGGACGTCCCGTCTGCCCCGCTGAACTCCCAGCTCAGATCCAGAGTGTGAGGAGCAAAACCAGACGCCTCACACTGAACCACCAGCACCTGCCCAGGAACCAGCAGAGGAAGAGGAGACGGGTAGATGGAGAGAGACGGAGGCTCTGGAAAGAAAACAGGCACTGATTAATATTCAGTATATAACTGTAGTGTAATATAATATGCAGCTGATAAACAAGGTGGCTACAGCATCATATTCATAATTTAAGTGTACAAGCATCTCACCAACTATCTCCAGGTCCACGGCTACCTGAGCCAGCAGGTGAGGAAGATACACTGTGCAGATGTAGGTTCCTGAGTGTCTCACTTGAGATTCTTCCAGAACCAGAGATGCGTTTCCGGTTTCATAGAGGCCTGTGATGTCGATATCGGCTCCGGTCTCTGATGTCTCTGCAAACCGATCGTTCTTGCCGTCGTAAGCGAGGACCAGCCGTCCTTCACCCCGGAACTGATAGCGCCACTCGACAGAGAATCCAGAGCCGTGAACTGAAGAAGACGCATCAACCCAGAACCCGCAGTCTAACAGAACCGCTTCTCCCAATCTAGAGCGGACCACAGGAGTTTTACTGGAGACACTGAGGATGACTTTAAGAAAGAGAGGAAAAAGAGTGAGCAAAGTAAGACAGTGTTTAACCATCATTAGCTCTGAAGAGTTAAACAGAGTTTAGGCTTTACTTTAATGACTCAAATTCCAAGATACATGGCTTGCAAAATCTTATTGCAATGCAAATAATTTTTTACAAATTGATTAAAACTTAAATACAAATAAAATATGAAATCACATCATAAGATATATAGATTGCAAAATGTAATTGGAATGCAAATCAATTAAAATAAAATTTGAAATCACATATGTATAATACTACTAATAATACTGCTACCAATAATAATTATAAAGTACATAATATGCATTAATTATAATTTTTTTATATAATCTGTTGTGCCCATATATTATTTTATGCAGTTACCCAATATATTAACAAATTTTTGTTATGCAATATTTGAGAAACCTGGGGTCTAACTTTTGGTTCTTTAGAAACTGAAATTATATTATACACAATTAATATAATTTATTATTATTCTAAGTATAATTATGCAAATATATAGTATTATTATATGCAGTAATATATAGGCTATTTAGTATTGTTTCTGCAATATGAGGAACATCTTCGAGAAACGGCTAAAAACATCTCTTCCGTCTTCATTTGGCCCTCTAACTCTAGCAATCTCTATTCGTTTTCTATTCTTACTACTTGTTTTCTCTGTGAAAAAAAGATCCTCTATCACTAGCGTTCCTTATTCTTTTTCTATCTACTTGTTTTTCTTTTTATTTATTATATATATTTATAAACCCTTGCTACGTGTACTGCGTTAGGCTAACCGAGACTTGTCACAGCACTTTCATATTGTTGCCCTTTTGTTAGTTTTGATTGCTTCTATTGTCCTCATTTGTAAGTCGTTTTGGATAAAAGCATCTGCTAAATGACTAAATGTAAATGAACCTGGACTCTACCTTGTGGCTCTTTAGAAGCTGAAGGCGCTCTCATGATATTGGACAGCGTCAGCTGCTCGTCAAGCCCTTGTGCTGCCACTGAGAACCAATCAGCTTGCAGGTAGACGGGACTCTGGGCGGAGTCAGTGAGAGCAGACGCCCATCTAACCATGGAGGCGTGAGGCATGAACGGGTTAATCTCACACTTGGGTTTGTTCACAGAGCCTTTGGGTGGATTCAGAGCGGCGCTGCAGAAAGTGCCAGCTGGATCTGGAGAGGACAGTGCATTAAAGTGTAGATATCATCTAATATTTCCTCTAATATGTTATCAAATACTTGCTTTACACTCTAAAACAGGTGCCAATATACTGTAACATCTGTGGTTGTAGGTTAGCTTTGGATCTGGTAGGTGTAGAAAAGGGGTATTTTTATTTTGCAGGACAGTAGGTTTTAGGCTATATTATACTACTATACCATAAACATTAACAGACCACCACGTGACCACAACATTTCACAAATAATTTTGACAAAACAGCATTGACACTGACCAGTCACATAGTAAATCCTGGATGGGCTGATGTCTGCAGGAGGATGAAGTCGAGAGAAGCTCTCTTCACTGAAGGCTTCAGTGCTGATGAACATTAGAGATTTCTCTTGACTCATTGGTACTGAGAAACCCCCTCCATGACCCGGTTTCTCCTGAACAAACCAGCACTCCAGAACCGGACATCCAGAACCGGAAGCTGCAACATAAGAGAGATTATGAGAATTATGTTCATTGGTCACACACACACATAAGATGTAGTTTTGAGTACTAAAATGCAGCAGAACGTACCACCAAAAAACAATGTAAATGCGATGATCGATATCTTATATATGGTCGAAATCTCAGGCATCGTTGCTGTTTATGTTAAAACGATAACTCTCTGTTTAACTTTGCCTGTTTGGCGTATTAAAGCTCTGTCGGGCTTCCCCGAAACATTCGTGCAGCTTTCGCAGTTTTACTTTCGGTTACATGGCGCATGCGCACTGCCTTTTGTTTTGCGCTAATACATAAACTAAGACCGTCTTTGTGCCATTTGAATGCAATACTCCGTTGTCGTGTGACATGTTTTTATTTAAAGGTATAGTAACCTCTCAGAACATACACTAAAACACCAAAAATATGCATTTCTCTCCATCATAAATGTGAGCTTTTAGGCTATTAGTGTCCTGTAGGTGGCGCTCTGAACCAACAACAGTGCTTTAGCCGTGATATCACGTGGTTTGTCGGAACAGAGTGCAGTTAAGGACACAGAGAAATAAAATCAACAGATACTAGCCAAACCTGTGTAGCCAGTGTAGGTTTATGCATTGTTTATTTGCATATCTTTTTTTCAAATGGTGAAGACTGTACAGCAAATTTACTCTAACAAAAGTTGAAGGCTTTGTACAAAAAGGTTAGAAGTAGTTCAAATCATTTATTAATAATGTCAATCAACAAGAGCTACATCATTAAACATTTGCATATTAAAAAAAAAATCCTTCAATCTCACAAGCCAATTTAATTACATGAATGAAATAAAATACTTGTACTCAGTCATTTGAAAGAGGACTTGATATCCACTTCATTTATGTAATTTAGCTTTAGTTTTAGTTCGTTAGATCTGCATAATTTCCACTCCACCACAAAATGTTAAAAAAAATCTGATCTCGGTACTAAAAAACATGACGACCAAATAAATAGTCATTTGAGCGAGTAGTTGTTCCAGAGAGGATGCAGTTCCAGGACCACATATAGCACCCTAATGCATTGGATGACCACGGTCCAAAATCATAACCCTAACCTCTTAGCAATCAAACAAAGCAAACAAAACTTAGCAAACTTAGCAAACAAAGCTGAATTGCAGAAAGCAGTATTTGGGAGAAAAAGAAATATGGTCACAAGACTGTGACGTTGCTGAAGCCGCAGACTCTGCTAGTGATTCAAATGTTCAGAAATGTGTGTAACAAACTGTTGGAAACTCAGAAGTGAAGACCAGGAGACTCTTGGGTATCTTCAGCAGGATTCTTTATTGAGAACTTGCTGTGTGCTGCTGCAGCCATCAAAAGTCTAAGGCAGCGATACATTGTAGTTTAGATATATTTTAGGGGACAGCGCTTAGAAACAGAGGCAAAGCTCCCGGGAGATGACCTTAAACCAAGCTTGGTTAGAGAGTCAGACTCGTAACCCAAAGGTTGTGGGTTCGAGTCTCGTACTGGCAGGGGTTGTAGGGGGGGGCAGTGAATGTACAGCGCTCTCTCCTATGGGTCACCATACTTGGCCACATGTCACATCACTTTATAAAGTCAAAAATATATTTTTATGGAGTGTCTTGCATATATTACACTTTATTACATCCAAGTAAAGAGAATTACTTCTAATTAATCATCAGTTTTTAAGGCAACATCATTGACACACACAATCAGAGTAAAAGTTTTACTAAAATTTGATCAGAAATTATCATCTAGTAATGCAACCGTTATGAGGAGAAAATAATTATATGTAAGATCACTTTATGAACGCTTTTCTGATGGCTTAGATAGCAGTTACATTAAAGCTCAAACTCCAGCTGGACACTGGAGCTTAAGCACGATTCTGCAGGAGATGAACAGGTGACAGTTTGTCATGCATTAGGACTACTAAATACTTAAATTATGGTTATGAACCAATGTTTAGTCTGTCAGCAGTTGAAATATCCTTAAAATGTATTTTCAAAGAAACCAACAAAAGGTGTTTTTTTTTACTTTACTTAAAAAAATTATGCAGGAGGGTGTTAAATACAACCCATCCAAATCAGTTATATTTTACTTAAGTATATTAGTTATCAAGTAAAATATATATAAATGGGTACATTTTATGAATAAATGAACAAAAATAAATGAACAAAAAACATTTTTAAAGTTTGGGCTCCTAAACATTAGATCACTCTCACCCAAAGCAGTTATTGTAAATGAAATGATCACAGATAATCGTTTTGATGTATTCTGCTTGACTGAAACCTGGCTAAAACCAAATGATTATATTGGTCTAAATGAGTCTACTCCACCAAGCTACTGTTATAAGCATGAACCCCGTCAGACTGGTCGTGGTGGCGGTGTTGCAACAATATATATATAATAATAATAGTGAAACACTGGGAACAAGTGGAGGTAAACGGGTCAAATCAATGGAATAAAAGGAAAAAATATTTTTGTGCCTTTTGATGTCAAGATAGGAATGCAAATAATTTTTATTGAATACTGTCGTCAAAGACGCCATTGGAAGCTAAACGCAGACGTTTAAATGGACATACTATGGATGAAAACTGTTATGATTACTCTACTTTTAAAGCATAAATTCGACTTAAACAATAGGTCTACATAATATTCACATATGCTGTTCATAGGGGATGTATTGTATTAGCCCTACAGTTACAGCATGAAATATTATTTAAACCTTACTATTAGAAATATTATTTAAACCTTAAGAATTTTGAAATATAAAATCAAATTTACCTTTTTTAAATTATTTTATTCCATGGCTCCATAGTGATTGAAACCCGGATAAGCTCCGCCCACAAAAAAAGTCATCCCTATTTCAGATCTGTAAGACTATCCCACTCTAACGTCAATTTCGTTGAATAACAGTGCTTATCGCTGGGTGACAAGCTCTTGTAATATGCGGAGAACATTTTGAAAATGACATCTAATCAATATAATTTATAATCTTTTTAAACCTAACTATTTTGTACCCTATCCGTGAAATTCTCTAGCTGTAAAGGCTATCTCTCCCGGGTTTTCTGCAACCATGATGCGCGCGCATCCTGAATGTTTACAAACCTATTGGTCTATTAGTACAGCTTTACTTCCACGGACTGTTTACGACGCATGCGCTTTAACTGCTGGTTGTTTGTGATATTTGAAAATACCTGGTCGTCGTTTGGCACAGATTACACCTAGCATAATCTTTTTAACTTCTTAGAATTTACATTAAAACCACTAAAACAAGCGTTTTAGTCTTTCTAGTAGATATTGATTTCCACTAGGTGGCGCTCCGAGCCAACATTATTCCAAACCCACCATGCAGTGAATGTGACGCTGGAGGACTTGAGGATTTAGCCATGATATCACGTGGTTTCTCGGAACAGAGTTTAGTTAAGGACACAGGGAAACACCATCTCTTATGGTCTCTTGTAGCGTGGTAACAACAGATAACCAAACATGTATAGCCAGTGTAGTGTAGCTTTATAGGCTACATTATGTATTTTGTGCATGTCTTTATTATTTTTTTAAAATGTGAAAAATGTATACCTAAACTTGCTCTTTGAAGGAATAAGGAATGAAGGAAAAAAAATTCAAATCACATTGAAGAGAGTTTCCTTGATTTCTCTCTTAGCAAAAAGTATAGGTTGGACAACAATCTTGTTTAAATTGGAAGTTTTTGTTATCTTAATTTAAGTATTCACGGTTATACTAGCTACTTTTGTTTGCATATTTGCAGTTCATCCTCATCCATAGCTATCATATCTTCATCAGTGCTTAATTAACTTATTTTATCTTTCAAGATGAGGGAAGAATACATGTTAGCCACTTCATTTAGACATTAGGCCTATACGAGTTTTAGTGTACATTAATTCCACTCCACCACAAAATATTAATAGCAGCCATTTGAAGATTAATGACTATATTAACTGCTTACAAAAGAGTTGCTCTCTGCTTTTTACTGTTGCACTTTCACATACTTTATATGTAGCTATTTTGCTAGCATACTTTAGCCCTTTGTATAGAGCGCTTATGTTACTCTATTCTTTAGATGAATTGCTTATGTGGTAGCATTCCTCTTTTTAAAGTTTTTTTCTGCTACTCTCACAATAAAAGTGAGAGCGAATCAGTTTGAGCAGTCTTTATGTTATTAGTTATATGTAATGCAATGTGATGTAATTTATTAACTGATTAAAAATAGCTTAAAAAAAAGTCAAAACCAAAAAAACAACAACTGATGGTTAGGCCAGTCACGATAACAACTTTTTGTTGTGTGATATATTGCCCCAGAAATAATTGCGATAAGCGATATTATTGTAATTTTATATTAAAAGACCATTTTATGCCACTGAATATATAATTATAATGTAACAGCATAATAATGCAAGAAGGCCTACACACTTCCAAATAACAACAAACTTTTAAGTTTTAAGAATATTTAGATCATCAAAATATTAGAAACCTTAAAAAAACTGAATAAATATTAAATAAACATTTTCTACCAAAAAAGTAGAAAACAATAAAAATGCACAAAGAACTTGTATGGAGATTTTTCCATCTACAGATTTGTCCCTGACCTTCTTTTCTCTGTAAATGAAGGGTGCACACTATTGCTGAAAAACACAATCACTACTCAGCAGTCAGATGTCCGTATGCACAAAGCCACAGATCTCTAAACAAGACCATATCTGCAGATGAAACTTTGTTTGTAGAAGTATTTTTTAAATGTGAACGAGCACCTCATGACTACACATGTTATGTACAAGAAGCTGATAAAGACATAGACGCAAGTGGAAGGTACAAAACATGGTGACATTAATTTTTAAGTAAATATAATGGGCGATATATTGCGTCACCAAAAATTATTGAGGTCATGTACATATATTGCGCGATAAGTCGATATATTGATTATTGCGACAGGCCTACTGATGGGGTCATCTTCATCCACAACATGCATTTTTCAGGTTAATGCACAGATCTGCTATGGCCTGTTTCTCAAGAAATATATATAAGTTAGTAAAAAGTCTGTGTATAATTTAACAACAACAACAAAAATAATAATATCATATTGGTCTGTGGACATAATAATATTAATATAATAAAAAATAATAACAGTTGGTTTTGTTATGCTGTTATTAAATATGGACATCAGTTTAAAATGTACATACAGAAAAAAGAAAAGAAAAGAAAGAAACTTTATTCTAAATGGGAAAAACTTCATTCTAAAGCAGCAAAACAGTTGGGAAAAATGATTTAACAAATAGATAAAACATGGGATAATAATTTGTTAAACAAACAAACAAAAACATAACACAGCATGTGCATGTTAGTCATTTTCACTATTATGTCACGTACACCATCTCACTTTGTTCAGACTTTGTGTGTCAAGTAGTAAATGGGAAAGGTCACGTCACAACCCTCCTCGTCTGATCAGCCTTAAGGTTTTGTTTGAGATTTTGAGTAAATATACAGTATATATCAGTTTAAGCATGAGAATCTTCTAACTTATGTGACACCAGTCTTGTCATTTATTGCAAATGAAATTATAATCCATAAGTGAAATGTTAATTTTTGATAACACAAATTTGTATTTTGTCCTATAAATCCTTTATGTTTCTGTACAGAGACTCACAGCTTTTGTCGTCACTTCAAGAGGATGGAGATCATGTATGATAGTGATTTCATCCCTGTACTTCATTTCTTAGAGGTTAAACTGATGGTTACAACTCGTCCCAGGCCTATTACAACCATCACCGCTCTCCCTAAAGTGAGACACAACAAATGAATAGAGAAAAAATTATATATCAATATTCCTATTAAATATTATTATGAAAATCTTGGTAGTTATTACTCCCATTATTGCACTTATTTGTTCATTCTATGTTGCCCCAAAAACACATTAATACGCAAATTAGATACAGTTTATAGATACATTGTATATAATGGAAAAACTCGTTTATGGCCATTTTACACACATTTTGCATAAAGAAAAATGGTTTTAAAAAATATCTTTCATAACATAGTTGAGAATCATCTTTATATAAAGTTTGGTATAAAAAAATGAAAATTGATTTCTCACTCTTTTTGCCTTTTCATGTCTATTCAAGTCTTTTTATTTTTTTTAAAACAGGACTTTTTAAAGTCCCGATGTCCTACACAGAGGAACATGGCATAACATGTGAATAAAATATCATTTTTCAAAAAAGATTTTGATTTTGAAAAGTGAGATTATTCATTTTCTTTATTTTACAGTAAACTTCCTCAGTGGCATCCTCAGAAATTACAAACATTTGTCAACAACTACAGTGTAAGATTTATATTATTAATATAGCCATACAGTAAATCACATAAAGCTGACTTTTGATTTGCAGTTGTAGACAAGCATTTCAGTGCATTCCATTAACTTAAGCTGAAAACAAATAACCAATGAGAAAATATTCAATTCTAACACAGGCCTATGTCTCACATGATTCCATATTAATTTCATTACTTTTTTGTCTTTACTTTACCACACAGCTATGACGCGACAGCGATCAAGTCTATAATCAACCCAGTGAAGGAAATACCGCATAGTAACACGTGACGTCAGACTTATCAAGAAAAACGATTGGCTAGAATTTCAGAGCCTATTTATTAGGCGTTAGTGCTGAAACATTTGACATTACGTTACCAGTTCACAAGCGACAACCGAGGTGTCTGGTACACTTATTTTAAGCGTTTTTCTGAAAGGAATTATTTTTCAGGCAAAAGAAATAATGCGGCATGTAGTGCTTTTGCTCCTTGGAGCTCATCTTGCCTATGCAGGTGAGTAGATTAGTTTAATTTACCAGCTATAGTTTACCATTTGTTGCATGTTTGTTTGTTAAGAGTTATTCCGTTACGCTGAAACATACCTACATGAGCAGCCCACTTAAATTCAAAGATTCGTGTTACTAACACTTTTTCAGAGACGATGTTGTATATATTGTAATGTTTTAATATCCTAAAGATCATACTTTAAAAGTAACGTTATCCTATTCATGTTTGTCTACGACATTATATTTTGATTACATTATTCTTTGCTCACAAAACTGACTTAACTATACTACTACTCATAATAATAATAACAATAATAATATCTTAATAATAAACAATATTCAATAATAATAATAATAATAATATGTATGATGGTCTTTACGCGACCGCTCCCGCGGTAAACTACGCTTCTTTTTTATTCGTTTAACAAAACTCAACTTGAATTCAGCTGGACACACTTTCCTGTTTATCACAACAAATGGCCAAGCAAAGCACGACACTGACAAGGTACGCGATACAGTACGAGACCAAGCGCGATTTCAGCAGGTCTCCACAGTAAACAAAAACAAGCGTTTCCTAGCAACGACAACTGCGCTAAACACTGAGACAAGAAAGAAATACACTTACAAGCTGCTTTTAACTTCTGCTGATTGACTGCTTCTCACAAAGACTATTTCTTTACACTGTTTTGCTGGCGCTTGAACACACTTTCCTGTTTATCACTACAAATGGCCAAGCAAAGCACGACACTGACAATAATAATAATGACAATAATCACTGTAATAAAATAAATAAATACATAAATAACCTATAGCTATAGTAGCTAACAAATATCTTTATTGGTTTGAGTTTGAAAATGTAAAACATGTTCTAGAACATACTAGTTTTCTGTATCAGATCAGTTTTATTTCTGACCTGAGAAGCGTTTTTCTGCCCGGATACCGATGACGAGCTACTTGCTAATAAACCTGCTACACTTTATTAATTAGGAATAAACCTTATAGCTTTCTGATTGCCTTGCCATGTATTGGGAAAAAGGCCCATTACAGCAGAATAAAAATCTAAATGGAAATGGAAGACCCAAAGATCAACTGGAAAGAAAAAACACAGTTTAGCGTGAATTTTAACTGCAGTGTTTTGGCCACTAGATGGCAATACAACGCTACTAAACATTTACATTGACAGACGCTTTTATCCAAAACGAGTAAATACAAGCATTTTACCATAACCAGTCTTGTGAAGGTTACTTTATAAATGTAATAGGTTACAGATTACAAGTAACCCTATCTAAAATGCAATAAGCAGTGTAACTATTTAAATCACTTATTAATGTAACTAATTACTTTTGATTACGTTTCTAAATGTCTAATGTTTTCAACTGTTAATCATTATCAAACATGTAAACCAGGCAGGGTTAACCTCACAGTATATTACCGTCAGACTTTCCCTAAATAAGGACAATCCTTCATCTCTTGAATTAAGATTATAATCATTTAATTTTAAAGCACAGCCACCACAAAATCAGACTGACTTTGAGATCACTCCGAGGTTAAATACGGATTTAAAATCATAACAAGAAATAGTTTAGTAGCTATGATAATGTTTTTGAAATCAAGTCTTTGCATAGCTATGAGAGGAAACACTGGCATCTAACAATGCCTTGGGAAAAAATAATAAAGCATATACATAAACCCAAAACAGTTATCGAATAAGCATGTGTCCTAAACTCATATTTTAGAGCAGTCACTGCAATTTATGAAAGAAGTCAATTAATTAAATCTGTAGGGTGTGTAAAAAAAAAAATGAAGATGTAACCTCCTTTGTAATCGTTAACGTTTTCATAAGTAACTGTAATTTAAGTACACATTTTTGAAGGCATAAAGGAGACAACCCTAGGACAACAGACATATAATACAGTTCAATCCCGTCACTGACGTCTATGATCCTGTGTGTGAGAGAGAAAGTGTTTTTTTAAACTTCATATTTCACACTAATCTTGCATCCTAATATGCCAGAAACGTATTGCATTTCAGTCCTTTCACATGACTGAATCTGTTGCACTAATGAATAATAATAATAATAATAATACATTCCTGTTAAATAGATGAATCAAATACAAATCATTATTGTATCATTTTACTGTTGGACAGATTTCAAGTAATATATTCAATAATAGATTTGTTCTTCTTACGTTTGTCTTTGCCTGAAGTGATCTGTTATCTGTAAATAACCCATATCCAGAGTTTACTGCGTCTAGATATGAGACTTTTTATCTGTTTTCTCGTGTTATATATTTGTTAAGCGAAAATGACTTCTGTGTTTTAGCACACTTGACCAATAAGACTGATTATGAGTAAATATTGTTTTAATTCAAAATAGTACAATAGTACAATAACTGACAAGGTCTCAAATGTAAATTTCGGCAAGTTAGGAAGATCTGGAATATGAACATATTTACACGGACAGTAAACAACTAAAGCTACAGTCCTTTTGTTGGCTTTATTAGGGTGACATTTTTCTTTTTTCTTTTTTTTTTGTTAGTCAATTTAAATATTGCAATATAGGTAACTGTTTTCACCTGCTATGGCATGGATTGTTTTAATGTAGCCTGATTGTGAATTTCAGTGTTGATGTAACTCTTAAAGTGTGGATTTTGAACAGGCTTTACGTGGAGATGATGTTTGTGTCTCGGTCCACAGGAACACACTCTCTGAGATACTTCTACACTGGTGTGTCTGGAGACATTGACTTCCCAGAGTTCACAGCGGTTGGTCTGGTTGATGAAGGGCAGTTTATATACTTTGACAGCAACACAATGAAAGCTGTGCCAAAGACAGAGTGGATCAGACAGAATGTGGGAGCAGATTACTGGGACGGACAGACTCAGATTGCAACTGACACACATCCAACCTTCAAAGTCAGCATCCAGACGATAAAGGGACGCTTCAACCAGTCAGCAGGTACGCTGGTAACAAACCCACCTACACACACACATACACACACACACAAACACCCAC